ACTCCAGTGGATACTGTTTTATGAGCCAGTCCATGTCAAAGCAGTAGTTAAACTGTGCTGAAGATACAAGTGTCCCAAACAGAAGATAAAATATCCTTGATATGCAAGACTCCAGAATTGTACTTTGGCTTAATTCTTGAGACTCTAGTGAGGTAAAATTGAAAGGTGTTCCCTTTATCCAGATGTCCTGGCCTTCCCCTGACGTTTCATACTCGCCTCGTCCTCCATGAGTGCACAGCAGGCGGGAGGGGCCTGATTACCAGTGCATGGGGTACCACCACCTTTGGGAGAGGAAGCACCTTTCTCCTCTTTGACAGCCACTTTCTGCTGCATCTCTGGTGGCAGCTTATCATCGTCACTGCTGGAGAGACACCAACCCAGCTCTTCCTGGGAGCTGCTCTTCTGCCCCTTGGGAGGTGAAACTTCTGAAGCTGCATCTGTGTCACTGAATCTCACAGGTGATACCTTCCTCCTGTGGGCGGCTTTCCAGGCCTTGGAAGAACTGTATTTGGGCTCATATGCTGCTCGCTGCCCAGCATGGGGAAGAGAGGTGGATGGATTGTCCAGTTTGGGCTTTTCCTCCTCACTTTCATCACTACTGGATATCATCCACCTCCCATAATCACCTTCCTGAAACATACTTCTTCTAGTGTCTACAAGATGCTCCGCTTCCAGCCCCACCAAGACCTCATGACTTCGCTGGATTTAAGCGGCCTGCGCACTGCAACCAGGTCAGAAGAAACATGAGTACAGGCCCAGCTCCCACAGCAGCCAGAGGCTCCCGAGCCTGCAGCCACTCGGGATCTCACCTCTCCACGGCAGAGAGAAAACATTTCTCTCTGCCAGGCAAAGTTGGATACTGCATCTGGAACACACCACACAAAAATGATCCTGCTGTATGAAGAAGGCCTCTGGGTTGTCATGCACACCTCCAACCTCATCCACACTGACTGACACCAGAAAACACAAGGAATGGCTGAGCCCTTTGTACCCATGAATTGCCCACAGAGCCCTGGAGAATCGACTACACACTTTAAAGCTGATCTTAGCAGCTACTTGATGGTTTATAATGCGCCCTCTCTCAAGGAGTGGATAGACATCATCCATGACCATGATTTCTCTGAAACCAGTATTTACCTCATTGGATCAACCCCAGGATGCTTTCAAGGAAGTCAAAAAGATAACTGGGGACAATTTAGGCTTAGGAAGCTTCTGAGAGAGCACGCATCGTGCACGCCCAATGTGGAGTTCTGGCCAGTAGTAGGTCAGTTTTCCAGCATTGGCTCCATCGGGGCTGAGAATCCAAATGGCTGTGTTCTGAGTTTAGAGAGATCAAACGGAGCTGAATGACACTCCCTGGGGAAGGAAAGCAGGACCCTGGGGGAAAATGTCGTTCTGCTCCATTTGATCTATTCTTCTGTGGAAAATGTGCAGACCAGCTTAGAAGGGTATCCAGCTGGGGGAATCTCTTCTCTACAGCATCCAGACAGTGGAGAAACAGAATTGGCTTCATTCCTATTTCCACAAGTGGTCAGCTGTTGGGCTGCAGCAATGCCATGCCACACACTAAGACATACATGAGACCCTTTCTGGACTTCAGATTGCTTGATTCCTTGTCACAAGCATGAATCTGTCCAAGGCTGCCTGGGAAGCATTAGAGAAAAACGGCGCCCAGCTGATGATCCATTCCTACAAGCTCGGGGTCCTTTTCCTCCCATCAGCATTCGGCCTGGATAGCTTCCTACTGAAACAGAAATTCTTCTTGGTCAGTCAGGAGCCAGCAGCGGCCTTCCCTGTGCCGTAAGACCTACCTCCAGAGCTGTATGGAAGCAGAAATTGGCTGTGCATTTGGAACATTCCTTATACCAAAGGACCAGATACACACGGGAATATGTGGGTCCCGTCCTGAGAGGGCTGAAGCTCTGTGAAACTTGAGTGTAAGACACCGAGCCCCAAGCATCAACATTTCTTGTTCGTTCTGGGTGTTCATGTCCCTTCAAGCTTCCTCTGCACCCCCAGGACACTCTTTGCAAAGGTCACTCTTTTGAACATGGACATTAGTTATAGTTTTAGTGGTCATAATTAACATTTCTCACTAAGGAGAAGTTATATTTTAATTCCTTTTTCTATGCCGTGCTTTGGAATGAGAGCTAATAGACATCACACTGTGAAAAGAATACATTAAAAAAATTAAAAAATAAAAATTTTTCTCTTTTTACTGTTGCAATTAGGTATTTTCTACTACCTTGTCTTCCAGACCATTGAGTCAATTCTCTGCTTCATCTCATCTGCTGTTCATTCCTACTACTGTATTCTTCATTTGTTACTGTATCTTCAATTCTGACTGGTTCTTTCTTTTCTCTCGTTTTCTCTTTGTGTATGTTCTCACTGAATTCATCTATTCTCCCACAGTTCAAGGAGCATTCTCATAACCAGTGTTTTGAGTTCTATATGGTAGACTGTCTATCTGTATTTCATTTAGTATTTTTTCCTGGAGTTCCCCCTCCCCCTTTGGGACACGTTTCTTTGTCTCCTCATTTTGGCCAATTCACTATGTTTGTTTCTATATATTAGGTACATCTGCTACATCTCCCAGTCCTGACAGAGTGGCCTTATGTAGGTGTCCTGTAGGGCTCAGTAGCAGTCAGTCTTCCTGGTGCTCCAGGGTTGTCCCCTGTGTAGGTTGTGTTGGGTCTCAATTGCTGCTGGCACACCAATGTGTGGGGCTGACTATCAGGCTGGGTGGTTGTGAGGGCTGGCTATAACTACCAGCTGTTATGTGGGGGTTGTCCACATGAAGTAGGCTCTGATGCCAGCTGAGGTTGCCTTTTAGATGTATCAGTTGTGGAACTGGTACCATCTAGTGCCTCTTGGGAGGAGCTCTGGTGCAGGCGAAAGTCAGCCACCATTAATGCCAGGTTTGGAGGTACTTGGAAGAGGCTACGTTGAGAATCAAGGCCAGGTGCCACTTATGCCAGGCTTGGGACCCTTTGGTGAGCACTATGATGTGAGATAAAGCCAGCTTCCACTTGTGCCAGGCTTGTGGGTGCTTAATCGGAGATATGTTACAGGCCAAGACTGGCCACCATTTATGCCAGGCTTGGGGCCAGCTGTTGGAAGTTACAGTGCAAGGTGAAACTGGTCACTTGTGCTGGGCTTGGGGCCATTTGTCAGAAGCTACACTGCACACTGAGGTCTGCCACTGCTTGTCCAGGGACTGTGGACCTTTGAGAGTGTCTGCAGTGCAAGTCTAGGTAGGGCAGCTACAACATGTGTGGGATTTGTAGACATTTGAGAAAATCTGCAGCACAAGACTAGAGCATTCCTGTGAGGTTTTCAGATTTGGGGGAAAGTCCACAGCACAAGCTGAGGTGAGCTGCTTTTGTGGAGTAGCCACTAGAAGAGGCTTGGGCCAGGCAAGCAGACTGGATGGAACAAGGGTCTCAAGGAATCACGACCAGTGAGGGGTGAATGGTGTTAGCCAGATTAATGGAGAAACAGATTTGGTGTCCACCTTAGCTGGGCCAGCTGGGAGAGCTCAACAAGGAACAGTGGGTGCCTACCAGCACCTGTCTTTGGAGAAACATGCCCAGTCCCTACCCCTCCAGCCACTGTCCTGAAGTATGGCAATTTAGTTCCTCTCCTTATATCCCAGGCACTGTTCAAGCTGCTGCCCCTGTGCTAGTGCTTAGAGGAAGTGAGTCTGTGAGCAAATGATTCTGTGTATGGCCCCTTTAAGACCAGCACTTCATTCTCTAGCAGTTCTTTTTCTTGGACAGAATCCCTGATGGTTTTCATAGTTAGATGTTATAGGGACTTCTCTTCCTAGCTCTGGTAATCTAGGCTGGGACACCTGATGTGAGGATGGGACCCCTTGCTTCTCAGTGGGGGACCTCTGCAGTAGAGACATCCCTCCTGTTTCTTAATCGCCACACTGTTCATGGGACACCACCACCGCCCTCCGACCCACCCCCGGCCACATCTCCACCTCTATAACCAGCTTTGATGTGGCTTCCTCTTTATATCCTTTGTCATAGAACTAGCTGTATCCTTTGTACAGCTAGTCTTCAGGTGGTTGTCAATGGTGATAGTTCCATAATTTAGTTGTAATTGGAGGCAGTGATTTCAGGTTACCTACTATGCCATCTTAACCAGAAGCCTATTTCTTAATGGTTTTTTGATTTATCAGTTTTACAGTTCTAGGCTGCTTAGTGCAGCTGAAAAGCTATTTCATTTTCTCCCTATAAATTAATTTTGGAAACTTTATTCTAAAATAATCTCCTGTTTTCAAACCTACTACAGTTGACTTCTACCTGTTGATATAAGGAGGGCAGGAAAGACCTTCCTGATGCTGCTCCTTCTGGCAGCCCAGTGACAGAAGCTCATGGACAGGACTTGAAAGTTAGGAGCTGGTCAACCAGATCCTGTGTCCCCATCTCAACAGCTCAGAATGTGTTCAGAGAAGCAGGGTACATACTGGAAGTAACAAGTGTCAAAGAAGATAGGAGAGGGAGGTGCGTCATACACACAACCTCTGGTCACACTGTTGGCCCTGTCCACACAGTGTGCCATTTATGTCTCATTATTCCACTTTTATTGGCTCATGACAGTCTGCTTACCTCTGAGAGATACAGTATTTGGCATGACTGAATTCAACTAACAGTATTTTCAAAGCCAACACCGATACACAGTCTGCCTGACCAGCACAAACCAGTGAAACTCCAATCCTGCCACATCCTCTGTGACAAACATGCAAGCAGGTAGACTGAGGCAGGGTCTGGTGACGTCAGGTCTCTGAGGGTGTGGGACCTCAGCAATTGCTCTTCCAGCCCCAGGAGGTCTGGGAATAGCAAACCTCTCCCTGTTCAGTTCCCTTCCATTCAAAGGCCAAAAGGCACAGTTCAAGACAAAGGAAGGACTAGGTATAAGAAAGAGACCAAGGATAAACCAAATGACCAGATAACCAGTCTCCAGAGAAATTAAATAATCACTCTTTATTCAAAATAAATAAGCCCTCTTACTTACAGGGAAATAGGAAAGTAAACTTCTTGCCTCCTGGCTTCAGAGACAGAAACCACATTCAGAATATGTTCATTTACAAAAAGGTTTGTAGATTATCAAAACTGAAATTCAGGAACTTCAATATACATTGTTTCTTTGAAAAATAAAGACTAAAAGAAATAATTCATGTCAAAGGTCACAGGTTGGAAAACTGACTTTCCTTTTGAGGATCATTTTAGCAAACCCTCCAAGTATTCCCAATCTTCCTGCTGAAAGGCCATGTCCTGAGAAGGGGCCCTCCCTCTCTCTTGCTCTAATGCTGGCTCCCCACAAGGCTGGGCTGAGTTGCCACAACTAACAGGACATCAGCCACATTGTTTCCATGTCCACAAACTAAACTGGCTCAGCACTTCTGCAATGGACAGGATGTTTCCTCGGCAGCAGAAGGCTTGGAGTACCACGTTTTCCAGTGTTTTCCAGATTCACAGTGTGTTCAGAGGGCTTTCAGGAAAGGTTCAGTCAGTATGCCCCAGTGCTCATTCATGGGAATTGCACTCTGAAGGCCAAAAGCCTGCTTCCTGTACCCTCCATGCTGCTAATTTCCCAATTAAACACATTACAAATACATTAGATCAATGAAGAACTAAGGACCACAAAGTTGTTCAAAACTCCTTACCCCAAATAAACAAACACACAAAAGAACTCTTCTTATAAATTCAGGTTCATCATCTGAGAGGTTGAAGCCTCCAGCGATTCTTCTAGCTCCAGGGCACACTGACTATATGCTTCCAGATGTTTTCTCCAGACTTCAACTGGAAACGAGAAAGCGGCACAACTAGTGAATAGGCAGGGGCACTCAAGACAGTCTCTAGTGGAGAGCGCACTGTTTAGTGGCTCAGTCTCCTCGGTGGGGCCTGGCTTAGGTTGAATCTGCCATCTCCAATGCACCCCCAAACCCTAGTCATGAGCAGCATCAATCACACCTCAGCACTCGCTGACCTTAACAACCTCCTGCCATGGATAAAGCTGTCCTTGCAGCCACACTGTCTGGAGGCCATCTGACCAGAGGGTCTGTCTGAGACATTCATTGACAAGTCCTTGCAAACCCCTGGGTCTGAGAACACCTCTCAGGCAATGGACAGGACTGAACCAGGCCTTCTGCAGCTAGTGCTATTGCAGAGTGGCTGTGCTGCTCTCCCAGGTACCTGGACTTTTTAATCAAGATCCATGAAGACTTGAAGGGAACTCTGCCCAGACGCAGGCCCTCCCCAGCACTCACTGTAGTATGGCTCCTCTGTCTTGGGAGAAGCCAGAGGGCTGTCTTCTGCTGAGCAGCTGGTGCCTTGCACAGGCAGGTTGGCTGGAGCCTGGGACCCAGGCTCTTCTGCTAGCTCCCCACGCATGTTCTCCAGCATGGTCTTATACGCCTCCCGCGCTGCCATCGTCAGCTCAACCATCTTGTGGAACTGGTCCTTGGAAAGAAGAGAGTGCACAGGTAATGTCCCCTGACCACAAAAGACATGACTCACCTGCAAACCACAATGGCACCCTCCACAGAGAAGGCTGAAAACTGCCTAAGGTGCCACCCCAAAGAACAGGGTGCCTGAGGCACCTCTGTGGCAGCAGTAAGCCCAGAGCTAATCTTGGAATCATACTTCCTTCTATGCTATTAAGGAAACAAAGGCCACTGAGGCTGGGTGGCTCTGTTGGGCTCTGTCTGTGGACCACACCAGCTCTCCTGCCTCCCTCCCATTAGCAGTGCTTACAGGCTGGAGCCTCCTTCTCACTCACCTGGGCCCCATCATAGCTGAAGATCCCCACCACGCTGACAGGAACAGCTTTGTTCAAACTGCGCCCCAGAGCTTTGCGGTTGAGAGCAAACACAAAGGGAATGTTCTGTTCACAGGCGTAATTGATAATGGTGTGCAGGGTGTCATCCAACCCACCTGTCCAAGGGCAAGGAAACATGGTAAGGATACTGGTTGCAATGGCTTTTACTACACACAATACCACTCTCCAGATTATCTTCTTTATTCCAGTCAGTGACCTGTGCCAGACATCACCAGGAGAAAGCAGGTCATTGTAGTACAAGTACATTATTCTTCTCAGCCATGTGTAAGAATCACTCTCCAAAGGCCATTCCTTAGTGTAATGAAATATGTCGATGTAGAGTTACCAGCTGTCATTGCACCTAATGAAATCTTAGGAATACTTACTAAACACTCACTAATTGCCAGGCCACTGTTCTAATTGCCTCCTATATTAGTTCCTGTATCCTCACAAAACACCCTTCTTACAGATGGCAATCTGGAGCAAAGAGATCACGTGGCACCTAGCCCACATCACCAGCGCCTTCATCATGACCACACACTGGCCTTCCATCCACTGCCTGTTCCTGCCCCCCAGAGAGGCACCAGCCAGACCTGGTGCACAGGACAGCAGGGAGAGGCAGCCTGAGTTTAAGAAAGAGGGTGGAGAGAGAATCAAGATGTTGGAGGAGTGAGTGGAAGTCACACTGACCTCTCCTAGGACCAATCTGGAATTACAACTAAATCATGGAGAAATCACCTGGAACAAACAACTGAACAACAGCAAGAGAGAAGCCTTATAACCTCAGACAGACAAAAATCAGCTTTAGCACAACCTAACTGGTAAGAAGTGTGGTAGAGACTCGAGAAGGCAGGCAGGACACCCACAGGCAACAGCACCAGAGGGATACTGAAACAGTCAGTTGTATCCCCCTGAGAAGAGCAAGGTCTAAACCATAAGCAGGGATCTCCAGCCTATAGCACCAGAGCCTGAAATGTACACAGGTAACAACCAGCAGTAAAAAGTGGCAGGGTTGCTCTTTCCCAGAGACAGGTGGCTGGAGATGCAAAGAGACTTTTAAAGGGCCAACACATACATTTCTATTTGCGGCCACTTACCCTGGTCTCAGGCAAAGGCAGGGGCAGAGTGAGCTAGAGACGCCTGAGGAGAGACTGGGGAAGGAGGCTTTGGGGAGAGAACTGAGAGTGTGGTTGGCGCGATCCCAGTGCTGACTCATCCCCCATACTGTAGGAGCCATCTTGCTCAGGCAGACCATTTCCCAGAGCAGCAAAGTACAAGAGGAAAAAAGCCCTGCCCCCAGGAGAGACTCTGCCCTGGCCTGGTGGTGCTAAAGCCTGACTGCTGAGTACCTAGTGGCAGCCACAGATTGTAGATCCCTGGCTAAAAGGTGTGTAGAATGGTCTAGAGACATTTGAGCAGAGACTGGAGATGGAAGTTTGGGGGCGAGAACAGAGGGCATGGCTGGTGGGATCCTGGTGCTGACTCCTCCCCCATATGGCAGCAGCCATCTGGCTCAGGCAGACCACTCCCCTGAATAGCAGAAGCATGAGAGGACCCAGTAACCCTGTCCCCAGGAGGGACTCTGCCCTACTCTGTGATGTCTCAGCCAGCCTGCTGAATGCAGAGTGACTTGATTAACAGCTGAAGGAGACAACCACAAACAGTAGATTCCTAGAAGTATGGAACAGACTGCCTAAGGGTAGACAGGGTCAACATCTGACATCATCAGAGGCAGATCCAGAAAGAAAAAAAAACAGTGGTCTCCTACCATAGAAGTTCACACCACAAAGTCAGGAAATCGAGGCAGATCAATTTAAGAAGCAAAAGCAAAAAAGAAGAGTCCCACAAATAACAGGAGGACAAAGAACCCCCCCCCCAAGTTGAAGGGAAAGGAAGAATCCCCAGAAAGAGAACTAAAGGAAATAGAGGCAAGTCAACTATCAGATATTGAGTTCAAAACAATGGTTCTGAGGAAGCTCAAGGAGCCCACTGAGCTCAGAGAGAATTACCAAAAACTACAGGGAAACTATGAGGAACTTACTGCAAACTATATCAGCATAGAAAAGGACATAGAAACTATCAATAAGAGACAAGAGGAAATGAAGAATATAATTTCTTAATTGAATAACACAGTAGAAGGAATCAAAAGAAGGCTAGATGAAGCAGAGGTTTGAATCAGTGAGCTGGAGGATAAGTTAGGGAAAAAAGCTCCTAGAAAGAGCAAGAAAATGAAAAACGACTCAGGAGGAATGAAGAGGCGTTTAGGGAAATGCAGGACAACATGAAACGTGATAATATAAATATAATAGGGATACCAGAAGGAGAAGAGGATGAGGAAGGGATAGAGAACCTGTTTGAAAAAGTGATGATGGAAAACTTCCCTAATTGGAGGAGAGAAAAAGTCACACAAGTCCAGGAAGCACAGAGGGTCCGATTTAAGGGGAACCCAATGAGGCCCACTCTAAGACACATCATAATTAAAATGGCAAATATCAAAAATAAACAGAGAATCCTAAAGCAAGCAAGGGATAAAGAGTTAGTAACATATAAGGAAGTCCTGATACCACTAGCAGCTGACTTCTCAACAGAAATACTACAAGCCAGAAGGGAATGGCAAGAAATACTCCAAGTCATGAAAAGCAAAGACTGCTCTACCCAGCGAGGCTTTCAATTAAAATGGAAGGTGAAAGAAGGAGTTTCTTAGACTAAAGAAGGCTAAAAGAATGCACCTCCACCCAACCAGCACTGCAAGATATGCTAAAGGGATTGCTTTAAGAAGATGAAGAAAAAGAGTCTATGAATACCCAGTTCCTTTCACAGTCACCAATACTTGATATTACTAATATTTTTAATACTCATTCATTTGTGACAATGATGTGTTACTGTTAGTGTAACTTTATTATTTGTTGAAACTAAACCTGTTTTTGTATATTCCTTGCCTATTTCTATTAGTTTTAAAAAAGCTTTAAATGACATTTTGGTATTCTTCATCCATTTTTTGATTAAATCTTTGTAGAATTTTTTCCCTAAGGAAAAAAAAAACAAAACTATTAACCTTTTTTTTGGATATGTTGCAAATACTTTCCTATTCTACTACTCTTCCTTTAACTTTTTTATATGTATATTACAATATGGCCTTAAATGTTTAATATAGTCATATTATCTATATTTTACTTTATAGCTTCTGGTTTGAATATTTTACTTCGGGGTAAGAAAAATATTATTTGTATTTTCTCCTATAACAACTTAGATTTTACATACTGACTTTTAACGCACGTGAATATTTTTTGTATAATGTGTGAAATAGGGCTCTATATTTATTTTATTTCAAATAACAGAGGTCCATGCACCTTATTTGTTGAATAAGCCTTATTTTCCCCATTGATTTGGAATATCAATTTAATCATATAGTACATTGTTAGACAGATACATACATTTTTTTCTAGAATGCTCATTTTATTTCATTGATTATTTGACTGTTTCTGTGCTGGTGTTGTGTTGTTTTAATTGAGACTATAATGCATTTACATTTTTTAATATTTTATAATGGATTTTGATATTTAAAAAAATGAATAAATAAAATCAATCTGCATTTTAAAAAAAAAAGAGAGTGAAGGAACTCTGTGTACAGAGATATGCCTGCCAAACCAGAGAGCCAGCCACACCAAAAGATTATCACCAAAAAGAACATTACATACGGAGTCTATGCACAAATAATGCAGACACCACTCGTTGGCACACATATGCAGCCAGCTAGAATGCATAATGAAGAATGACTTCACTCATGAGCAATCACAAGATTACAACAGGCAGGAATCAATTTATCAGGACACGAGAGATTTACAAAGCAACTTCAACATGCTATTAAAACACAACAAAAAATTAAAACAAACAAAAGTCATCTCTGCTCTTGGACAGGATGATCCAAAATGACGTGTTGACTCTACATTAGCCTAAAACTTTGAAACACCATGACTTTACTACAAATAGATTTTTTTAAAAATATGAAAAAATACACAAGTAAAAATAGCATTTCAAAAAAGGAAAATATCAGGCTTTCATCATCAGGCATTAAAAGTGTGCTGTAGCCCTGACTGGTGCGGCTCAGTGGGCTGGACATCGTTATGCAAACCAAAAGGTCACTGGTTCAATTCCCAATCTGGGCACATGCCTGGGTTGCAGGCCAGGTCCCCGTTTGTGGGTATACGAGAGGCAACTAATCAGTATTGCACATCAATGTTTCTCTCCCTCTCTTCTCCTCTCTCTAAAAATAAATAAAATCCTTTTTTTAAAAAAGTATACTATACAGCTTCAAGAACATAAATAAAGGAATGCAGGGTGACAGGACAGAGGGTCTAGAAATGGCCCGAATATGCAAATCTTGAGCATGTGAGGAAGAGCATTTTGAAGCAGAGGAGAAGGGACAACTGGGTCAGCCTCTGCAAAGATCCATCTTAGATTGAATATATGCTACGTAAACAAACATGAAAACATGGAGAACAGGGGAAAAAATCAGAATTAAGAAAATTTTAATCCCCTAGAAGTCCTTTTAAGGACTGACATAAAACCTAAATGTGATAAAAACATAGGAATAAAAAATACCGATATACAGATCTACTCCCTGCATGGTCAAGAAAAGGTGGAAAGAAAACAGGCTACTGACAAACCAGAAAAACATTTACCACACTTACCAAAAGGGCAAACTTCCTGAGTATAAAAAAGGTAATATCTATATAAAAAAGATCAATATCCTAAAAGACAAATAGACAAAGAATATGAACAAACAGCTCACAGAAAATACTACGCTCTTTAACAAGTGAAAAGATGCTCAACCTCCCTCTCAAGTCAGGAGGGCAAGGAGAAGGCACACAGCCTATGGGGGCCATGCACACACTCTTCCATTCTCAATATGGAACCTAGAGATGTTCACACAAATAAACCACAGTATACAAGTCACTGACAGGTGTGAAGTCTAAAAAACTGATGTGCTCATCACATGGGACTGTGCAGCCTTTCAAGAGCAACACAGTCTGTATATACCAGTGTAAGAGAAGGATCGGAGAGACTGAAGCTATAAAACAAGGTACAGATGAGTCTAGGGGGCCAGATCTCTCTCCCTCCTGCCCCCCGCCCCCGCCCAGTGTTCATGGACACACATGGGCTATCAATAATACATAAAAATCTGGCAACAATGGCTGCCTTCGAGCAACTGGAGGAATTTGAGGGGTTCACCCCTTAAAAGAAAGTAATAAAACAAGGATCCCACCTCTTGCATGGTGAGCTGTTTTAACCTACTATATAGAAGGACCACAGCATGTGTCACAGGCTCCTTCCCTGCACACAGAGACCTACTCCCATAGGGCACACAACATCTGCATGAAAAGATTCCCCAATACCTCATACCCCTGGGAACTAATTACATATTACTGAATTTTCTTTCAAGAAGGAACTTCTCTAGTGCATATCCCTCCATTCTGTGCAAACTGTAAACTCAATTCTGTAGACGTATGTCTGGGCATTAATTTTTAAGCCCCAAATCCTTTAATTTGTCTACCCCTACTCCAGATCTACCAGAAGAACATGAGGAAACAACCTCTGGGGACATAAATACAAAAAAAACCCCACACCAATTCTGGGCAGGCTGGGAAAAGGGGAGGTGGGCAGAGGTGGTGTGACAGGTATGATATAATGACAAGTTATCACCAGAGACTGCCTGAGTCCTCTAAACAGTAGCTGAGTCTTCTCTCCCTCCAAGGTCTCTCTGCCTCATGTCCAGGTCAGCCCTCGGCTGATCACAAATGCAACTTCAGCAGTGGGCAGAAAAGATCAACCCAGCCAAATGACTGCTGTTGTCCCTAGAAAGACCGGCTTGTGCGGTTGGACCTTGGCTGGCAAAAAAAAAAATTGGGTTTAGAGAGGGCTCTCTATTTGGTCAGAATGGCTACTATGCTTATGCTACTTGTGGGAACTCTTGAAATTTATGCTGAGGCCGACTTCCTTCTGAGATTCTAGGAGTTGGTATGTGTTGGGCAGTGGATGTCCATGTGACCAGACCCCCCAGTAAGTACCTTGGGTGCTGAGTTTCTACCAAAATTCTCTGAACACAACATTTCACAGGTGTTGTCACAGTGTGTGCCCTGCATGACTACCCCAGAAGACTTTGTGTGCCTGGTTCCCCTGGCTTCTATCCAAAGGCCTGTCCCTTGTCTCACTGCGCTGTCTCCTTCCACTGAGATAAATCATAGCCGTAAGGACAGTTATAAGCCCTCAGTTCTTAGAACTCCCAGTCCTGGGAGTGCTCCTGGCACATAACTGAACCAAGGTGGACGTGGGGACCCTGAAACAGCAGCCAAGTCAATGGTTTTACTCGACCGACCTCCTAACCAAAGTTATTAGTGAGAGCTGAAAGCATCTCTAAGTGACTGCTCTCAAAGTTCCACAATGAGACAGCATAAAACAGGCAAAATGCTCAAACGTATGAACAATTTCCACTGAGTTTAAGTTCAGAATTAGATAAAAGCCACTCTGAGCAAATGCAGTACTCTGACATAATCCACGGCTATAATATGGAATTTTACCTTTAAAATGACTGTAAGCCACTAGTATCTTTTCCAACAGGAAACATTTATAAGAGGCATAAACAAGTTCCTGATGCCTCCAAGCAGAAAATATAGGAACTGATAATGTGTTTTAAACGCGTAACAAATCCTCAAGATACCCATCAGTAAAAACTTAGCTCAGTTCTCTGGCACAGAGGACTGTTGACTAAACACATACATACTCATGTTTTTGTTTGTTTTTCAAAGATGTAAATGCACAGAAGGATGAGAGATCATTCTTCAGCCCCAGCTGTCCTATTCCAGCAGGGTGGACTGGATCCTGCCCCAAGCTAAGATGGGGTGAGACTGCTAGGCTGGCACTGAGCAGGTCTCACTACTATTCTTGGGCCCCTGGGGGCTACAAACTAGGAAAACTCAAGTCTTCAGATGTGACATGGCAACTGAAAAGCTCACATGCAAGGGCAATTCCACTGAACTGAAGTTGTCACAGCTGGACAAAGGAGTGGGCTGGGGAAAGGAGTGTGAATGTCCAGGTACAGATACGGAGGGCCAATATCTGCAATGTGTTCTGCTCCTGACTACCAGCCCTTCTACTGTGAAGCCCAAAGGGGACATATAATGGGCAAGCCAAGGGCCACTAGAGAAAGGTCACATACAGGAGTTCGATGTCGATCCCTCACCAGCATTTCACATCCCACAAAATGGAACCAACATACGGTGTTAGTAAGAAGGCCAAGTGCTCGGGTAAGCCCACGACTTTAATGAGTGAGCACAACAGTTTGTCAAAGACATAACCAGGAAATTTAAAATGGGACAGAAGGCCCTGACCAGTGTAGCTCAGTAGATTGGGCATCTTCCTGCAAAGCAAAGGGTTATCAGTTCAATTCCCTGGTCAGGGCACCTGTCTGGGTAGCGGGTTAGGTTCCCAGGTTGGGAGTGTGCGAGAGGCAACCGATTGATGTTTCCCTCTCTTTCTCTTTCTCTCCCCCTCTCTAAAAATAAGTAAATAAAATCTTTTACAAAAAAAATAATAATAAAATGAAATGTACAGAAGCCCACTGCCCAGCTGCCAGTCACAAAACCTCTGCAGTGTGAGTGACACTGACCGTCACTAGCTCCAGGGCAAACCAATGCCTTGCCCAGAGAAGTGCACAATGGAGTATGTCCTTTTTTGCTGCCAGAGGACTGCAGGGGCTGGCCAGAACCATGTCATGAAGACTACAGGGGCCTAGCTGCCTTGCAGAGTAAGGCATGTGGTGGGCACAAAAACGCTGTAAACAAATTATTCTATTAAAACAAAAGGAAACACTGCCCATCCCTGGCTGCTGACCAGGGTATGGTAAGCCACACACCAGGAACAACGAGGCACCATTACCTTTTGACTGTATCTTCTCACAGTTGGGAGAGATGATGACGCACTTCAGCTTTCTGAGCTTCAGGTGTTTGAGCACCTCCCTCAGCCCCAGCACAAGCCGGCGTTTGGTCTTGGCCTTGATGGGATCTTTCTGGTACATACGGTCTTGGAAACGAACCAGCTCTTTGAGCAGATCCATAACACAGGCGTCCACCTCTTTACTGAGCACCTGGCTGCAGTAACTGAAAGAAATGTTAGATGACGTCAGCTTCCTGCTAGCTATGACATTGCAGGTTGTTCTCATTGCTCCTCAAGAGATATGAGGATGGCACAGCCGCACTCAGGAAATCACACTTTGACAGGCAATAATAATCAAAAGAGGGTTCCTGGTTGGATTTAATAAAAGGTGAGGATTGAAGAACTGCCCCCCCGCACCCAAAGCTGCCACTTGCAAGGGAAAGTAGTTCTACATCCCATCCTCTACCACAGCTTGCCAAGTGTCCCCATATTGTGACCATTCCCTGTGCACCTCTCTTCCTGAAAACACCTGGGGAGTCTGCCCTGAAGAAAAGTGGGGTGGGGGGCAGAGCTCCCTAAGAAATTATGCAGAGAAATCAAATGATAAAAGGGAACCCGAATGTCATACACTGTCACTAACCAGCCATTCCTCCCAACTGGAAACCTGGATTTATGGGCACCTCTGCCATCACATCAGTAGGATGACAGACCTCATAGAACCAGATTCAGTAGCCCTGAAAAGTGGTATGACTAGGTACCTGGCCACTTTTACCAGAAGGATGAAAACATGGGCCCAGTTCTCAGCTTTCCAGTCTGAGCACATCAGGGTGGGAGAACTCTCACCCCAAAGGCCAGAACAAGCATAGTCCGCCCCACCCCACCATCCCCGAAGGGCTCACTCACTCCCTAAATCTCCGGCTGTGGATCTTAGGGCAGCTGGCACCTTCGGGGACCAAGTAGCAGGTTGCCGCCTCCTTATGGATCTCAGCTCCCAGCGGCTCTTCTGACTTGCTTTCAACATCAGGAGTGGAGCACAGTGACGCTTCTGCTCTCCCTGGAGCTTCACAGAAAAAAAGTCATGGCGCCCACGGCATCTCAGGGCAGTGTCACCATGGCAGCCAGACAACCGATACCTACCTCGTTCAAACATGGCTGCTGAGCACCACAGCTGGCTGCAGAGTGATGGGAATGGCTTAGGTAAAACAGAGGAACCCAGCAACTTTCTGTTCGGCCTGGAGGTGCCTTCCTAAGCCCAATTTAGTTTTTTCTTTTTATTGTGGCAAAATATTTCTAAAACTTACCATTTTAATCATTTTTAAGTATGTGGTTCAGTGGCCAAATTTACATTTAATTTTTAAATTTAATCTGAAGTTTCTATCAGGAAGTGTTAAGGCAGGTTTTGTTCTGAATTTTTTGCAATTAAATGTTTGAGACTATTCTTTTATCAAATAATCCTTAAATAAGAGCTGAACTCAAAATATCTAATTTATGAGAGCCCCCACAAGGGGTATATTTAAACACATTAGAGAGGATTCAGTAATTGCTACAGTCCCCAAATGTTCTAGAGATTTCCAGAGTGCAAGTGAGGTACTAGCTCACCAAAGGAGGAATTCAGGAGCACACACACCAACCAGGATGGCAGACACAATAAAGACAATGTCCTTCAAGATGACCTCCCCACTGTGGATGGAACTGGAAACACACCTGAAAGCCCCTGGCAAGAGCCTCCGAAGCTGGATGGCAATGGACCCAAGCCTGCGATCTACCCGAGGAAATGCCAGCAGAAAGACTGCTCACTCCCTCCATACAGCTACCACACTGCCACAGTGACTGCATCTAGTGGCACCGTGGCATATTTGTACACCTGGACTCTGTGCAGCAATAACAATTGGACATTGCCCCTATGAGTCACAGACATACCGCTGGCCAGAGGGGCACTCACTGCAAGATTCCCTGGAAAGGAAGCCCAAAGGCTCATCAGTGTGGCTGTGGTTGAGGTCAGGCCTTGGACGGGAAACACAGGGAACTGTAGGGCTGCTCTGTTCCTGAGTGTAGTGCTGTGTTCACTTTGTGAAGCCCTCAAGCTACATCCTTATGATTTGTGCGCTTTTCTGAGTGTATCATTCAATAAAAAGCTTACTAAACATGTTCTTTTTAAGACCCCATGTCTTATACACTTGTGGGAAACAGCTTTGCAGTTAGTGGGGTTAATCCTCAAAGCTACTTCAAGTCCTGAGAACCATCTAATGCCATACAGATCAAACTCAGGAACCTCATCCTTTGTCCCTCACAAGTCCACTATCCACAGGGACATGCTCTTACTGTCAAGTTAGGAATCTGAAAACGTCTGCATTCTCACTTGCTTTTACCACAAAGTGGCCAGAGGCTGGCAGAATTCTGGATGGTATGCTGCACAGTTGCCCCACTGAAGGATTCTTTAAGATGCAATCAACAGAACTGGGTACCTAAGGGCTTACCCTGCTCAAGAGCCAGGTCATCATCACCACTCTCTACATCTTGCACATCATCACCTGCTGGACTCACAGTGTTTTCTTGGAGACGCTGCTGCTTTCTTTCCTCCCGTTCTTTCAAAATAATCTTTAAAATTGAATAAATGATTAAAACACCTAAATACCTGTACTTACAAATAAGCTCTTCTGTAAAATAAACCACCCAAGCTTGGCTTACTGGCAGTGTGCCCATCTGTGCCTTCATAGTGGCAACATGACCCACCACCCTGTTCTGGGAGGTTGGCCCAGGAGCAGTACATCCCTCACTCAGGTGCACTGAGCAGGATGCATGCAACCTGGGTTCTGATGCAAGAGTACAGCTTGACAATTATCTGGCCCCAGGCAAGACACTTATTCCCCATCTGAGATCGACCACGTACAGGCTGCTGAGTTAAATAAAAGAATGTGTGCAGCAGCCCTGATATATCTTCCAGGAAGTGTTCAACAGTCACTGAATCTGAACAGCACGCAGATCCCTCAAGTAGGATGAGGGTATCAAGTGAGTAAGAATATAACTAGCCCCATTTCTTGTTTTTTGTCCACGTCACTGCAAAGTATTTTTTCAAATGGCTCCCTTCTTGCCCTGGCTGGTGTGGCTCAGTGGACTGAGCACCAGCCTGTGAACCAAAGGGTAGCTGGTTTGATTCCCAGTGTAGGGCACACGCCTGGGTTGCGCGCAGGGTCCCCAGCAGGGGGCACGCAAAATGCAACCACACATAGATGTCTCTCCCCCTCTCTAAAAATAAATAAATAAATAAATAAAATCTTTTTTTTTTTTTTAAAGGCTCCCTTCTCTAGTAGCTGAGGCCACCCCACTACATCACTTGGGGAGTGAGGGATCACTTCTCAAGAGAATCACGAACACATCCTCTAGAAAGTAAAAACCTAAAACCTGAGCTGAAAGAAGTAATGTCATAGGTTTTCTAGTGCCCAGTTTGAAATGCAGCACCACTCACCTTCTTCAATGAGGTAGGCTTCTTGGTCTTGGGGACCTCCCTCTGCTTCCCCTTCTTCATCAGGGGAGCGCTGGAGTCCAAGGGGTTATGTGGGGTCTTCACCTGGCTAAAGCGGTGTCCCTTCTTCCCTGACGTGGCCTCTTTGGACAGAACGGGAACTGCCCCCACTGCAACACAGTGAGGACGCGTGCCTCAGGGAGGGCTCCCTGCAGGTACCAGGGGCTCCCCATGCCATCCTACCCGTCCCTACAACCTTACTGATTCTCATCAAACTGTCCCTGAGATATTCTTTTAATCGGCAATGATTGTTGTGAAACTTCGTTTTTTGGTAGCAATCCAAAAAAAAAATCATCCATTAATTTAGGAAGAGACATCTTCCTATCCCTATAATGAAGTCTGTTCTTTCTCAGTGAAGTCTATTAATGGGTGATCTCATTTTTTAACTGACGACATTTCTTTTAGCTTGTATTTTCGATGACCTTTTTGAGTAAGTCTCTCTCGACCACTTCCTGTTGACACCACCTTTGCAGAAGTCAGCTACTGGTTACTATTTGTGTATCTCCTATGTTGTAAGGCCCTTATAAGAGTCTTGTAACATTTCTAGTTAATTCCTGTGTTTTTCACACATAAACCTATTTTCCCAAATCCCCTCATGTACAATAGGTAAAAATCCCTCCACTGTGATTATGACCATTACTCGATACTTCCACTGCATTCTCTGGTCCTGCTCTACTTACAACACCTTATTCTCCCTCTCAGGATATAGTTCATCTTTGTATACTTTCCCCCTACTTTTTAATTAGGAAAATTTCCAACATACACCAAAGAAAACAGTGTAACAGCAAAACCCATGTACCCACTGTCCAGCTTCAACAACCATCAATATTTTTCCAAATATATTTACCCAAACTCCTTAAGTGTGGAATTTAGGTTATTAGTGTGTTGTTAATCAGGTGTATCCATTAATTTTCTCCTGTGAAACTCCCTGCTACAGTGCAAAATGTGTCCACTATGCCCCTGCTTTGCACCATTTCTAGCCTTGGTTATGGGACAGCTGCTGGTTACATGAGGAAATGTGCTCCCTCCCTTATGTTTGAAAAGTACATGTGACTGGCTTGGCTTTTGTCATCAGCTCTTCTTAAAATTCAAGACCATAACAACCCTGCTCATATCTGCTTCCTCTTCCCATCTCGAATGCCACCTGTGAGTTCAGGACCTCAACTGGCTCCTGCAACATCTGTCAGCCTGGCCCGCCATCCCTGGTCACTCGTGTCTGTACCCCTGCACCCCCACTGCCCTGTGACTCTCCACAGCACTAACAGCGGGCCTGGGGAAGGAAGGTCCCTTCCCAATGGAAAAATCCCAATAAAGTCTCTGGCATAAACCTTCCCCTCCATTCTGTCCTCTGCTTCCTGCCCACCCTGATGCTTCCCCACATGGCCCTGCATACGATGCCTCCTGTCTCTAAGACTTGGGAATATAATATGCTTTGTTTTTTATTGAGTTTTTCCTGTGTCCTCTCTTGTAGCCATACCTGACTGACGATATCATCAAAAAAATACTTGAAAAGATCCTGGCAGGGTTGCTCAGTTGGCTGGAGCAAGGTCTCATGCAACAAAAGGTCATGGGTTTGATCTTTTTCAATGGGACATGTATGGGAGACAAATGATAGAAGTTTCTTTCTCACATCAATGTCTTTCCCCCCAGCCCCTAAAACCAATAAACACATCCTTGGGCGAGTATTAAAAATATGTATTTTTAAAAACATACTTAACAAGCCCAAAGCTAACTGTCAAGGAAAAGCTGACTTGCCCATGCGAGCATGGTAGATAGTAGAGCAGAACTGGAGAATACAATGGAAGTATCAAGTAGTGATTATAATCACATTGACTAGAGGGATCACAATGACACAATGGGATTTCAGAAAATCTTATGTGTGAAAAACGCAAAATAATCAACTAGAAAATTACTAGTCTCTTATAAGGTCTGTAAGGGCTATATGGTAACCAACAGCCTACTTCTAAAAAGGTGGTGTCAACTGGAAGTGGTGGAGAGAGATTTACTCATAAGGGTCACTGTAAATACAAACTACCAGAAATATCCTCAGTCAAATAATGAGATAACACATTAATAGACTTTACTGAGAAAGAGCAGACTTCATTATAGGGATAAAAAGATGGTTCAATTTCCACCAAAGCACCTGGATTGATCTAAAAACATTTATACACAATAACAGCACTACAGGCCTCTACCAAACAGAAGCAATTTGAAAAAAGACTATCTAAGGGGCCAGGGGTCTAAAGCTTTGGTATAGAGTAGTCCCTCTGTTAAATGCAGTTTTTCTTTCTGCAGTTTCAGTTACCTGTATTCAACTATGGTCCAAAAATGTTAGATGGATAATTCCAGGCATAGGTAGATACACTTTGCCTCCTCATACAACCAAAAGAAGGACAACAAGTTTAAACACAAAAAATAACCAGAACTCCCAGAAAATCGAACTGCATGGGAGTACAACAACCAAGGCACCAAAGAAAAAACATTCACCCAGACCAGTAGGAGGGGCGGAGATGGGCAGCCCGGGCAGAGAGGATGCGCGGCAAGGCGGTGGCTAGAGGACCAGGCGGTCCCACATTTGCATGCGGATAAACTGGAGGAACAGCTGGGGAGCGAGACAGATGGCACAATCCAGGGTTCCAGTGTGGGAAAAGAAAGCCTCAAAACCACTGGCTGTAAAAAACTGGGGGGCGGGGGGGTTACAGCGGCAGGAGAAACTCCCAGACTCATAGGAGAGTCCGTTGGAGGGACCCACAGGGTCCCAGAATGTACACAAACCCATCCACCTGGGAATCAGCACCAGAAGGCCCAATTTGCTTGTTGGTAGCGAGGAAAGGGACTGAAAGATGATCGAGAGTCGAGCAAGTGTCACTGTTCCCTCTCAAACCCTTCCTCTACATACAGCATCACAATTCAGTGACCTGGGTTGCCCTGCCCTGGCAAATACCTAAGGCTCCACCCCTTCCAATGATTTCCAAGGCATGCTAAGATGACGAAATATGGCCCAAATGAAAGAACAGATCAAAGCTCCAAGAATAGAGCTAAGTGATGAACAGACAGCCAACCTCTCAGATGCACAGTTCAAAAACACTGGTAATCTGGATGCTCACTGAATTAGCTGAGTATGGTCACAAAATGGAGGAAAAAGTGAAGGCTATGCAAAGTGAAATAAAGAAAAATATACAGGGGACCAACAGTAAAGGGAAGGAAACCAGGACTCAAATCAACAATTGAGAGCAGAAGGAAGAGTAAACATTCAACCAAAACAGAATGAAGAAAAGAATTCAAAAAAATGAGGAGAGGCTTAGGATCCTCTGGGACAACTTTAAACGATCCAACATCTGAATCACAGGGGTGCCAGAAGGAGAAGAAGAAGAGCAAGAAATTGAAAACTTATTTGAAAATTTAACAAAGGAGAACTTCTCCAATCTGGCCAAGGCAGTAGGCTTCCAGGAGATTCAGGAAGCTCTGAGGGTCCCAAACAAGCTGGACCCAAGGAAGCACACACCAAGGCACATCAAAATTGTATTTCCCAAGATTAAAGATAAGAAGAGCATCTTAACAGCAGCAAGAGAAAAGGAGACAGTTTCCTACGAAGGAATGCCCATAAGACTATCAGCTGATTTAATTCTTAAAAGAAAACTTGCTGGCAAGAAGTAGTCAACATCACGAAAGGCAAGGACCTACATCCAAGATTACTCTATCCAGCAAAGCCATCATTTAGAATGGAAGGACAGATAAAGTGCTTCCCAGATAAGGTAAAGTTAAAGGAGGTCATCATCACCATGCCCTTATTATATGAAATGTTAAAGGGATTTATCTAAGAAAAAGAAGATCAAAAACTATGAACAGTAAAACAGAGGGGAGGGGGAAGAATGGGGGGAAAGGTACTGGGAATAATCAGCATAAAAAGCAGGTACAAAATAGGCAGGGGGAGGTTAAGAATAGTATAGGATATGGAGAAGCCAAAGAACTTACATGTGTAGCCCATGGACATGAACTAAGGGGGTGGGGGAGATGCTGGCAGTGGGGTTGGGGAGGGGAGCAGTGGAGGGTGGAGGGGAATAAAAGGGAGAAAAAAATGGAACAAGTGTAATAGCATAATCAATAAAATATATTTAAAACTTTTTAAAAAATTTTAAAAATGGAAAATTCCAGAAATAAACAATTCATAAGTTTTAAATTGCATGCCATTCCCAGCATGATGAAATCTTGTACTGTCCTCCTCTGTCCTGCCTGGAACGTGAATCATCCCTTGGTTTAGCGTATGTACACTATATATAGTACCCACCTGAAAGTCACTTAGTGGTAGTCTCAGATCAACTATGGAGGTAATTGTAGTGTTTGTGTTCAAGCAATCCTTATTTTACTTAATGGTCCCAAAGTACAAGAGTAGTTTAAACTTTGTCATTGGTATGCATGATGTAAGAAAAAAAAGAGTGTACACAGTGTTTCGTATTGTGGTTTCAGGTATCCACTGCAGGGGAGGGAGTCTTGGAATGTATCCCTCATGGATACTGGGAGACTACTATAGGTAAGAATTGCTCAGACATGCAATGTATGAAACTGTAGATCCTCATATGTATAAAATTATCAAAATTGTCGAGACAATGAAGGAAACACAAATACAGACTGACTAGAAGTTGCTAACAAGAAATAATCTTTAATAGTATTAGATGAGAGGATGGCAGGGTGGTTCAGTTAAACTATCAGAGATGCTAACTGGGGTATTTACAGGTAAAATGACATGTGTTGCTTTATGAGTTGCTTTAAAATACTTTACAGAAAAAAAGCTTCTTAACCATTTATTTGAGTGCCTACTTTTTTCTTTTAAAAATAAATTAATAAACTGCCTCTGAAGGAAGAAACATACTGAAAAGACTATGGTGGTAAATGTGCGTATTTCTTCCTCTGACGTGTTGCCATTTTAACTGTCTTAGCTCTACGAGAAGACATTTCAGAGGAGAGTATAATGTTTTCAGAACCAAGCCAACACCGTTATGAGGTTCATCCCAAGGACTGACAGATAATTCATTTCTATGAAATGCAGCTTTGGAACCTATACAGGGCACTTATGTATCATGAGATTTCCAGGTAAACAGTGTCATCATATCTACTTCTTAAAATCATCATATTTAAATAAATTTTTAAAATGTGGTAAAATACATGTAACATAAAATCTTCTATTTTAACTGTTTTTAAAAGTGCACAATTCAGTAGCATCAATTATGTTCACAATGCTGTACAACCATCACCACTACCCATTTCCAAAACTTTTTCATACCCCAAACTGAAAATCTGTCCTCCTTAAAAAATAACTCTCCATTCTCCCTCCCCTGAACCCCTGGTAACCTCTACTCTACTGTCTATTAATTTGTCTCTTTTAAAAATTTCATGGAGTGAAATGATACAATATTTTTCTTTTTGTGACTGGCTTATTTCACTTAGCATAATATTTTCAAGTTTATCCATGTTGTCACTTGCGTCAGAATATCCTTCCCTTTCAAGGTTGAATAATACTCTGTGTATAGATTACAGTATGTTTATCCATTCATGTGATGATATACATTTGGGGTGTTTCCACCTTTTGGCTATTATAAATAATATTGCTATGAGTACTGGTGTACAAGTGTCTGAGTCTGTTTTTAATTATTTTTGATAAAGGAGAGTGGAATTACCCAGTCCCATGACAATTCTATATTTAGCATTCTGAAGAACCACTAGACTATTTTCCAAAGCAGATACATCATTTTACATTTCTACCAGCAGTGTACAAGAGTTTCAATTTCCCACATCCTTGCCAACACTGGTCATTTTCGAGTTTTGCTTATAGCTAGCTACCAGAATAGGGATGAAGAACTACCTCACTGAGGTTTTGACTTGTATTTCTCTAATGGCTAATGATGATAAACATCTTTTCATGTGCTACTGGCCATTTGTATATTGTGGAGAAATGTCTTTTGCAGTGTTTTTGCCCACTTTTTGAGTTTGTTAATTGAGTTACAGTTCTTATATATTAGATATAGATATTAAACCCTTGGCAGGTATGACTTTCAAGTATTTTCTCCCTTTCCATAAGTTGTCTTTTCACATTCTTGAGAATATCCTTTGGTATACAAATGTTTTTAATTTTGGTGAAATCCAATTAATCTATTTTTGCTTTTGTTGCCTGTCCTTTTGGTGTCCTATCCGAAAAATTTATTGTCTAATTCAAAGTCATAAAAATATACCTTTGTCTTCTTCTAAGAGTTTTATGGTTTTAGCTCCTATAATTAGGTCGTTGATCTGTTGTTCTGAGTTCATTTTTGTTTATGGAATAAGGTAGCAGTCCAACTTTATTCTTTAGCATGTGGAAATCCAGTTGTCACAGAACGAATTTTTAAGAGACTGTTCTTTGTTCTTTTAGTGAACTCAGCACCCCTGTCAAAAATCCAGTGGCCATACATATGTGAGTTTATTTCTGGACTACCATTTCTATTCCACTGGCCTATGTCTATCCTTATTCCAGTACCATGTTTTGAGTATAAATAACTTTGGATAAGAGAAGAAAAATCACAAAATAGTCTACCTGAAAAAGATTTTCAATCATTTCAGAATAAAAACCTCTTTTACCTGAAAATATCACTGGTTTGGAGGCCTGCTTTGGACTCTGGGAGTGCTGCTTCTTTTCCAGTGCTGTCAGCATTCCCCCCAAGTCCAACTGCACTGGAATTTGACTCTTCTTTCCACCACTTCTAAAATTATTCTAAAAAGTTCAAAAATCAAAAATTTATACTTTACAAACTGTGCTTTCATTTTATGACCAAAAAAATCATACAATTAAAGATAAAATAGATTTAGACACTATAATAATCTTAAAAATTAAAAATTAATGTAATTAAAGAGAAAAACCCAATCAATCTTACGTTGTCTGCCAACATTACTGCCGTGGTTATTTATTTCCTCCCTCTTTTACAACACTGGGTTTATATTAAACCGCCTACACTTATGTATGCATCTCCACTATGAGTAACAGTATACATCTACAGACAAGAAACCAACACTTGTATAAAGTCTTTGACTACAAAAGTTTGTTGTATGTGAGGCTAATTGGTCAGTATTATTATCTCATTAGCCCCATTCATTCTCTAATTGTCCAAGTGAGCCAAACAACTGCCATGAAACCATGGAGACATGGCCAAAAATTTATACAAGTCCAAATCACACCCAGCATTTGAGGGCTAAATTTAGACACAAAGTTTGATATACTCTAAACAAACAGCACTTCTGACATAGTAGTGAATTGGGTTTTGAGACAGTATAAAGGGCTGTACAGACAGATTGTCGCACTGCTTTAGCATGTTCTCTCCTGTCCACTGTTCCCTCACCTGACACCAAAACCCCACTGGCTCAGGGCTCACATCAAGATGCAAACCCTAACTGCAGCACAGATAGACTACAGAGTGTCCAAATTATAACATAGTAATGCAGTTAATTTACACAAGGGTTTATTAGCATTTTACTTTTCACAAATGTGAAAATAATCACCCCATTCTGTCAGGCAAAAGTGACAATGAACATGCCCAAAAGTATACAAGTTCCCCACTTAGATAATAAACCGTAAGTTCATTCCTGAATCCACAGCAGGAGTGGGGTATAAGGACATTCTTCTCTTCAGCTTGTTCTGACTACTTAAGAGTGAAATTTAAGTGGCTTTGTCATTTCCCTCTGTCAGACATTACTGCTTCGCAAAGGAATTCTTGTTTCTAGAATAAACTGAAATCAACATTTTTTTCCTTTAAATCAAAGCTTCATTGGCAGTAGTGTTCCACTCCTTTCTAATACAGCAGTTGTTGTACCAACAGTCTTATTAGAGAAGTGACAAAGTATTTTAATTTAAATGCAATTCTGCTTCAACATACTGAATGTCCTCCTCCAATGAAGGAATGAATCAAAACAAAACCGCAGTTCTCCATACACAAAGAAGTCTGGAAAGCAGTTTTTTCTGAAGAGTTCAGGTTAGGCTAAAACAACTGCGGTTTCAATCCAAAATTTACCTGTGGCTGCTGTTTAGATCGAAATTTCGGTGCCTCTACTCTGTCTCTTCTTTCAGAAGCAACTGCCAGATTGGGAAACTCCTCGGCATCCTAAGTAAATCACACATCCTTTAGCGCTTCGTAAATCATGAGACTCAAATATGCCCAAGTGAAACCTTCTCCTTCTTCATATTTTCTATGATAATCTCCCACAGAAGTGCTCCAAGGAGATACAAAACAGCCCCCCAAATTCTAACGTAAGGGCTTCAGCTTAATTTTACTCTTAGAGCCGATTTAAAGACCACAGTTCTAATCTCCTACTCCAGAAAGCAAGAGCAGGGACCCTACAGAGTAAACAGAGCTGCCCCTAACGACCACGGCATGAGAGTGCTCAAGCACCCATCCTTCTATTAGGCTTTGCATTAGGAAACTCATCAATCCAGGCTCGGGGGATATAAATGTCCTGTCATGTGTGCTGATCCCAGGCCAAAAAAATAGAAGAGAGGCAACGGGCCTCTAAACAATGTTTAAATCATTTAAAAATGTCCTATGTGCTTCTGTCAAAATTTTAGGTGCCTTGGAGAAGTTATGTGAGAAATGGGGGCAAAAATATGAACTATTTTATTGGCCAAAACTATAATGATCTGCTATGGCCATAGGTCTTCAAACACAACCCCACTATTCTCAAGGGAATGTTCTAAGAGTCTTAGGATCTCCCAGGTTTGTGGGAAAGCCTTGGCTTGACCATAACCCAGACATCTGGGCAATACAGCTGACTCTTCTGTGGGCACCAGGAGCCAGGCTGCTGAGTCTAGTCCTGCAGACCAATGAAAAACGTGGTCAGAGCCCAGGGCAGCTCCTTGGAGGACAGGGACATTCCTGGAGTACTACAGGACAATTTAAAGAGCACTTTTGCAAATCTATGACATTCTCATGACCACAGCCCACAATGGCTCTCTGATATTCTAAATTTTCTTTCTAGTGAAGCACATTATAGTAAGATTTCTGGATAGAAAAGGAGGCCCTGCAAAAGCCAGCACGCCAAAGCAAAGATTAAAAAAACAAACAAACAAACAAACAAACAAACAGGTAAAAGAGATATTTAGAGATAAATAATATTATGGTGCATAAACTATTCATTTTTAGTATACGTAGGCTTATCTCTAGGGCATTCATTCATTCATTCATTCACTCCAACATTTACTGAGTACCTGCTATAAGACAGGTACTGCACTGGGACGTAAAAATGAACATGTGAAGAAAAGAGATGACTATTTTCTTTAGTAATAGAGAATGATTATTAAAGAATATGTTGAAGATTTTCTCTTAGAAAATCAGTATGAACCCACATTTCTATTAAGACAGACCCATGTATTATACCACACAGGGAAAGAAATAAATATATACTTCAATCCTTGGTGGCTCTTGAACTGTCAGGACTTCATATTTTGATTTAGACTTTTCTTTCTTTTTCTTATTCTTTCTTGAGGCTTCTTGCTCAGGATCACCACCTTGTGTTGCTTTGGACTAGAACAAAACAAAACCATGGATTTTGGGGACATTCAATAGAATGTTTAATTTCATGTACCAAAGCAAAATTAAGATATCAAGTTGTATAACCACATGGCAATTTTATTAAGAATTTGCCCCCTCATTCTCTATTTTCCAAAGAGTCAGCATTCAGGAGAATAAGTATGAGGGGGAAAACAATCTGTGAAAACAGTTGTTACATTCAATATTTTGAAATTAGTAGATTTAGACATAAGCCAGTTTTCAGCCTGAGGAAGCCAAGTTAATAATTCTAACAAAATCTTTTTGTAAATCCAGGTGTACCAATTCAATTACCAGAATCCAGTGATTCTTAAAACTGACTGCAGAAAAGAACCACCTGTACAGCCTTCAAATCAGAATGTCTGGGCCCATCCCAGACATCCTGAATCTGACTTCACCCCTCCCACCCTTCCCGCAGTCCCTGACTTTTCCTCAATCATGTTTAATGTACCGGCCTCAGGGCCTTCACACTTAAATTCATACCTGGATCAAGGCTAAGGCTGCACCTTCATTTCAGCTCCAGACTCATCCTATCCCTATCTAGCCTCTCCCTCTGTATTCTCCTTGGAGCACTAATTGCTACCTGTCTACACAGTGCTAGTCCCTTTGCATCAGAAGGGGGCTCTAAGAGGGCGCCTTTTAATGTTTGGGGCCCCCCTTATCCCCCATGGGAATCTACTTTAACAGCTAAAAGCCTCAGTAGCCATTAAAAAGAATGTTTATCTACTGACTGGGAGGAGCTGTCCACGATATTTTGTTAAGTGGTAAGGCAACTTTTAATGTATAGAGAATAACCACATTTTTGTTAAGAAAAAAAGATAAAAAACAAACCTATTTGTTTATGTTTTCACGAGCCTGAGGTGGACTATATACTAGGTTGTTAATACAGGCTTCCCTGGGGGACAGGGGGCACTAAAGGGCTATGGGAAATATGACTTTTTCCATAATTAGATCCTTGTAGCAGAGTATTTGTTATTTCGGTAATAAAAATTTACAACACAGAAAGTTTTAAAGGGAAAAGTCATTAAGACCTCTATTATCCCTGCTGTGTACAATGCAAAGAAATCTAGGTTCTAAGGTTACAGGAGATCTTCATTGTATCACCTTTTAAAAATGACTCTTAAGCTCTGGCTGGTGTGGCTCAGTGGATTGAGCACCAGACTGTGAATCAAAGGGTCACCAGTTTGATTCCCAGCCAGGGTTCATGTCTGGGTTGTGGGCCAGGTCCCCAGTAGGGGGCACGTGAGAGGCAACCACACACTGATGTTTCTCTCCCTTTCTCCTTCCCTTCCCCTCTCTCTAAAAATAAACAATAAATAAATTTTTTTCTTAAAAAATGATTCTTAGGATGTAAAAAATCTGTTAATTCATAGTGTTAACTGGCTATTAGGAAAACCACTTAGGAGAGTCACTTGATGGCTGCAGCCAGAGAGCCCTCTGCAGCCAATGCCCGGCAGATGGTGGGGGTCTCAGGGCCAATGGCCTCTGTGTGTACTCAGATGGGGTCTCGCTTGCACCTCTCAAATGAGCGCAGGAAGCTGTATAGAACAGCACACACCTGCTATAACTATAAGGCCGTTTTGCTATAACTGTCACCTGCACACATTTCCTTAATCAACCAAGCATAAATGCACAGCATCATATGTGCAGCATGTGACACTTTGGGTATCAAAAAGTAAGTACCCTTATACCCCAAAAGACTGGAAATCACTGCACTAAAGAAATTTAACCAGCTCTGGCTGGTGTGGCTCAGTGGATTGAGTGCCACCGGCCTGTAAACCAAGGGGTCGCTGGGTCAGTTCCCAGTCAGGGCCTGGGTTGCAGGCCAGGTCCCAGGTAAGGGGGTGCATGAGAGGCAACCACATACTGATGTTTCTTTCCCTCTCTTTCTCCTTCCGTTCGCCTCTCTAAAATAAATAAAATCTAGAAAAAAAAGAAAGGAAAAAAAAATACAACTACAATTCAACCTACAAGAATACAAGGTTTGTCCAGAAAAAGTCCAGTCATTGTTAGTGTTACGAAACAGTTTGCACAACATCTATGTAAGCTGGCAGCCAAGGAGAGTGGACTGCAATGCGCATGCGTGAACAATGGCAATTTCACTGTATTAGTCAGTGGGGGCTGTAGACTCACATTGAGTGAGCATGTGTACTGCGTGGCCATCACATTCAAAATGACTGAGTGAGTAGAGCAACAAATCTGCATCAAATTTTGCATTAACTTTGAACATTCCTCCACATAAACTATCCAGATGATTCAGAAAGCCTTCTATGGGCAAACTGTGCATCTTGTGCACAATTTTTTGACGAAACATCCAATCACCCATGTGACTCAGTCCCCCCATACAGATCAAATTTGGTGCCCTGCGACTTCTGGCTTTTCCCAAAACTAAAATTACCTTTGAAAGAGAAGAGATTTCAGGCCATCGATGATATTCAAGAAAATATGATGGGGCAGCTGATGGTGACTGGGAGAATTGTGCAAGGTCCCAAGGTGCCTACCTTGAAGGGGACCGAGGCATCATTGTCCTATGTAAATGTTTCTTATATTTTATATCTTCTGCAGTAAATGTCTCTATTTTTCATATTACATGGCTGGATACCTTCTGGACAGACCTCGTATATCTGTACACTGAAAATCAAGAACAAAATCTAGACCTACAAGAAAGGCTCTTCAAGATACAAATCTAGGGATCAATAAAACTGATAGTTTAAAATAACTTAAAATGAATTGAAAGGAAAAACTAAATTCCTGAAATGCTATCTTACAGTATGTAAGCTGCAATCAACCAAAAATCAGTAACATATAGCAAATAACTGCAAAAATTTAGAAATAAATTATTGTGCAATTAGTGCCCTACTAAGTTTTTTAAATTCAGTTTAAAAAAAAGAAAAGACTAGGAGAAAAAAATGCAGCACCAGAGCATACATTTCTGCCAGCAGCTCTCCTTTAAAAAATTCAAAATGATCCACAGATATGTTAAGGCCACTGGTCTAAAACATACACCCTCACTCATATATGAAGTTACCACTTATATTCCTTGACTGAGGTCTTATTTATTTTTCCACGTCCAAGCACAACCAACTCAAATGACTGATCACAGTACAGAATGAAACACTTTCAGGCAGGATTTGAGGGGGAAAAAAAGACCATCCAGCAATTCAGGAGACCCACATTATCCAAATGTGACACATACCTTTTTAGTTGAATGGCCAATGGGTTTCCCTCTGTTGTAGGAAGAATCCGAAGATAAAACTTGAGAAGGTGATATGCTACCATTTTTAGGATCTGCTGATGAAACAACTGTCTTTAGGTTTATCACAGAAGTAACATTTCTAGGGGCTGATGACGGTTCTGTAGATAACGTGTGACGGACAACATAACCCATTGGCGTCCAGGATAACTCTGCTCAGAGATAACCACAATTGGGGAACAGTCTCAGCAGTAAACAGAAACTCCTTAGAAATTCCAAACATGCATCACATGAGTTAATTACTCAGAGCATAATTAAATTTAGGCTGTTGTTCAAAATATCCTTTTGGAAACAACAGTCACTAAACTTGTGTTTTCCTTGGATCATGCATGCTGAATTAACTTGTTTGGTTAACTGATTTTCCTAGAAACTGTTTTTCACTTAGGGGTGGGTCAGTTAAAAAACAGCAATCCTCAATTATGTCCACATGGCAAACACACAGAATTAACAAGCTAAAGATCAAATGTTCGCCCTACTAACCTTGATGTATATCTTTCACAGCAGAAGTCAAAGGTCACTAGACTTCAGCTATCACAATAACTGGAAATTTATTTCTTTTTAGAGCACAGGCACAAACACAGCCACACTACTCCTTAGGTGCCCATGAAACTCTATATACAGACAAAACAAAAGGACAGCCATCAGGACATGGACAGGTCATGTCAGCAGCCTGTGGCTACCCTAGACAATCAGACAGACTGTTCTTGTCACCAGAGATACACATCCTTAAAGCAGCCTCTAAAGTGAAGCTCTTTGTGCCAAATGTGAAAATGCAAGAGAAAACACACCTATGGATAAATCAGGAATAATTTTGTAAAACTGTCTACTGTTAGGACAAGCTACTTATAAAAATTTCAAAAGCAGACTCCACTGAACACTCTCTGAACATATTACTTTTAGGCCAGGCCAGGACAGACCAGCAGTTCTCAAAGTGTACCCTGAGGCTTCCAGGACCCTTAAAGTCAAAACTGTTTTCCTGACAGAAGAAATGTGTTATCTGGGCTTCACGCCTCTGCCTCCCCACTCCCCTTTCTTTCTCTCTTTTCCAGAGACTGCAAAAGTAGGACAGTGAAATAACTAAATATAAAGGTAGACCTACTGAGCCAACCATTAAAGAGTAGCAAAAATATTAAAAAAGGCTGCGTTCCTTACTGTCTTAATTTTGGAAAATAGTTATTTTTTATAAAAACACTATGTTAACATGCAATGGGTTTTTTTATTGCTATTTTTAAATGAATAAGTAGTTTTAAAATTTCTGTTTAACTTCAAATATTGCAAACACTGACAGCTGTCTAAATAAACAGAAGCTCTGTGGTGCTGTTAAAGGTTATTAAAGGGTCCTGAGACCAAAATCTTTGAGAACCTCTGGTATAGGTTATACTTAAGGAAGATGTCATTTTTGAGTTGATAAACTTTCTCAATGAATTGGACAAACCTTTCATTTATAATTCTTTGCTATCTTACACTCCTTATATAAACATGTGGGATCTCATTTACTTTAGTCTTTTAACAAGTGTCAGCTTACCAACAATCATTCAGCTGCCTCAAAGAAGGTTTTAAGATATTTGTTGCATTGGACTAAAAATGAACTTAAAAAATAGACAACTGATTTTTTAAAATAATATCTGATAGCCACTCTTACCTCTTGTACACGAAGAGGGACTGGTAGCAGCATTATCAGTGGCAGAGTCAGTCGGATTATTATTTTTCATCACTATTTCACCCTAAAAATCAAACCAGTTGTTTTCTTACTATTTCAAATTGAAAGTAATCAATTGATTTTTAAACATAGCTTCCCTTGACATTTTTAAAATCTTCAAAATATATGCTAATTAAAAATTCAAAATACTGGATACAAGGGTGATAAATGGTAATGGAAAAAAATACATTAAAAAAAAAACTATTATGCCCTGGCTAGTGTGATTGCATGTTGGCCTGAGAACCAAAGAGTCACAGGTTTGATTCCCAGTCAGGGCACACGCCTGGGTTGCAGGCCAGGTCCCCAGTAGGGGGTGTGCAAGAGGCAACCACACATTGACGTTTCTCTCCCTGTTCCTCCCTCCCTTCCCCTCTCTCTAAAAAATAAATCTTAAAAAAAAACTTACCTCCTAAAATTATATTTAATTAAAGTTGATGCATTTGCATGAGAAAAAAAATTCCAAATACCTAAGTTCAGAAAGTGAAAAGTTAAATTACTTCCTTCTGCCAAATCTCTCCCTCTATAAGAAAAACTATCCACTGTCTACAGCTTAGTTACAATCTCTCTACTTCTCTGTCTAGGAGATAAATTCTTATGTATCACTTCTATATAGATCCCAATAATGAGATCAAATTGAAAGTAATCATTTAATTTTAAAATACAGCTTCTTTGCCATTTTTTAAAGATTTTGCTTATTTTTAGAGAAAGGGGAAGGGAGGGAAAAAAAGAGGAAGACAAGCATCGATGTGCGAGAGAAACACCAACTGGTTTGCCTCTCGCACGCCCCCAACTAGGGACTTGGCCCACATCATAGGCATGTGCCCTGACTGGGAATCCAACCAGTGACCTTTCAGTCAAAGGGATGATGCCCAACCCACTGAGTCACCCCAGTTAGGGCCCCTGCTATTCTTCAAATCTTCAAAATACATGCTAATTCCAAGTACCTAAGTACATAATGTAAAAAAGTTAAAAGTACTTCCTTCTGCCAAATCCTCTAAAAGAAAATCCACCCACTGTCTACAGCCTAGCTAGCATCTCTGTACTCTGCCTAGGAAATGAACACCTATGTGTCACTTTCATATAGATCACAATAATGGCATCTCAATCAACTTTGAAAAGATCAATATATTAAAGACAACTTTCAAATCAGCACAGATGTGCCAATACCATTCTTAAAACCCCAGTGTCCCCACAGGAATGCTAAAACATCGTTTACCAAACCCACACATCAAAGTTCCAAAGTCTATCAAAACATTCACAAAAATAACAAACAGAAGTATTATAATAGGTGCCCGCTTTTATAAAGACAGAAAGCTGCCATATGCATTGAACAAGAAACCTCAAAGATGCTGGGGGGCAGGTGAGAACATTAAGAGACATTTCAAAGTGACTGGCTGTACTGAAGGTAAAAGAAAACTGGTAAATTCAAATTCGAATAGTATACTTTACTAATTTACCCATTTTGTCATTTCATTATATCTTAATCCAGTAATAAAAAATAAAATCATGAGCCCCAGCTGGTAGGGCTCAGTGGATTAAGCACCAGCCTACGAACGAAAAGGTTACCAGTTTGATTACTGGTCAGGGCACATGCCTGGGTTGTGCGGTCAGGTCCCTCACTGGGGGCGTGTGAGAGGCAACCGGTCAATGTATTGCTCATACATGATGTATCTCTTCCTCCCATCCTCTCTCTCTAAAAATAAATAAATAAAATCTTAAAAAATAAAATCAAATCATTAAAACACAGCTTGTTCTCTTAGTATATATAACTTTTATGCTCATCAAGGCCAATGAAACTAGAAGTGGCTTACCTGTTCAAAAAGTTAAGGCAACTATATACATCAATATCAAAAATCCAGTACAACAGTTGTTTTCAAAGAGTATTTAAAGACATGGAAAAATGCCAAAATTTTGAAAACTTCTAAGAGAAGCCCATACATATGTACAATCCCCCACTTTCAGTTTCTACAATGTACCATTAACAAGATTAAGTGCTAAATATGGTTTTCCCTTGGCTATACAACTTCAAGTTTCTTTCTTTTTTATTTTTTTGGCTGTTAAGACACTACTAGTATAATCAGGAAAAAAGTTTTAAAAATGCACACACAATTCAAGAGTGTGAATATATACTAGGGTAACAGGTATGTAAATCTTCTCACATAGCATGATGTACCTTACTGCATGTCCACATACACAGTACCCAACTCTAACAGGTGACCATGAAATAAAATATCAGTCATACTGCCACCCTGTTCTACTTTTGTACAATGCTCATGGCCTGGGATTTATCCACTGGCTGCCTGTGACCAAATCATGGAACCCCTCAACTGCTCAGCTATTCCATGTTCTCCACTGGGCCCAGAAGGGTCACTCATCTGCCAAATGAAGACTGTGATTCTCCTACACTGATTAGCCTTAGTCGTCACAGCCATGTAACAAGAAAATGCCATGGGAATAGAATATGTTTTGCACATTACAAGCCATTCTCACCCAGCCTTCAGGCTTTAGTGTCCAAGCACCCAAGAGAAGGGCAGGAAATGTCTATTCAGGAGGTACAATCGGGTAAGCTGTTCTCTTCATAGTTTCTTCTTTCTCCTTGGCCTCAGACTGAGATGTGCCCTAGCTTTCCTTTATTGGCAATCTATCAGAAGTGATTTTAGGGACTAGTAACCTGATAACCTTTTTTCCTGGAAGTCTCAAATCAACCTGTTTAAGAGGAAAATGGCTCGATTTGGTGGACTAAAACTTTGAGATCAAGTGGTGAATATAGTATAACTTAAAATTACTAAGCAGCAAATTGAACTCACTTTACTGCAATTACTTTCATTAAATTTGCTGTATTATTAACAAGAGGTGCAGATAAAAAATCTGGCAAATCAGAAATTACACTATGCAGTTTTAAATACTACTATTTGAGTAAATAAAATCTTGTTGTCTGTATTGAAAAAGTGCTGTTGGACACAATGCTGCAAATGAATGTGTGCAATGGGCTGTCTAACCAGCTGGATTCATGCTAGAATCTTCTCCTGTGCCTTTCAGCTACCAGATAAAATTAAGTACATAAGGTGATTCTTTGAAAATAGCAGCACTAGGTGTCACAGCCTCACTGTAAATAGTTCACACAACAAAAGAGAAAAAGGGAAACAAAGGAAAGGAGCCTGCACTCACCTCTGTTAACACTGGAGCAGGTTTCACCACTTCTCTCACAAGAGAAGTGTCTGTAGAGGCAGAGCGTGAAGGTCCCCACTTGGGCTGTTTTGGTGTCTCTAATACCTCATTGTTCTCTGCACCCTGCAGTTTAGGAAAATCCAACCTGGTAAATTCAAACTCAGGTTTGGAGGCTGGTCCACATTTTTCAATGATTCTGGATTTCCTGTCTGTTCGTTTATGACAACCATCTGTATTTACAGAATTAAAAGTAGGAGGAAGCTTTTAATGTTTGATGATCTGTACTCACACAAGTTGCAGAATAGAAAATATACTATAGATGCAACATGTTATTGCCCAAACGGCCTAACTTTTTTGCTAGTGCTATTAGCTTTCTGCATAACAGTGTGAACATATATAACCAGAAGTAGCAATTGGTTGGGCTACCAAGCAAAAAAACCAAACACGTTGAAAAAAAAATTTTTTTTAAGATTTTATTAATTTTTTTTTAGAGAGAGGGGAAGCGAGGGAGAAAGAGAAAGAGAAACATCGATGTGTGAAAGAAACATCGATTGGTTGCCTCTTGCATGCCCTCAACTTCCCCCAATTGAGGACCTGGTCTGAAACCCAAGAATGTGCCCTGACCAGGAATTAAACCAGCAAGCAACCTTTCAGTTTGTGGGATGTCACCCAACCCACTGAGACACACAAGTCAGCGCAACACTCTGAAAATGTCAGGAGCAATTCTACTGCTGATGTAATAGTTACCTTAACGTGATTGTACAGCTGGGCACTTTATTTTTAACACACATTTTAGGGTTTTGCAAATATAAAGAGACACTAGCAAATTTCCTTTAAGTAAGAAATGTTCCCTATTTTAGTCTGCCAGAACAAACTGGAGGGATGCAAATAGAATTGAACTTATAACCTCTTTCCTATCTTTCCCTTTCAAATGCAAACGAATGACAGTGTAGGTTGCAATGCCTTCAAGTCCTTGTATTTAATCATAAGGCCAGAATTATTACAGTTACGTGCTCAACTTTCCTATAACCTTTCCATGTACCAGACAGTTTATAAGTCAACGCAGAGAAACATGTATATACCAAGTAACATAAATTACACCTATAAACAAACGATAGACATTTCCCAGTAAGTACACTATTTCAAAGGTTTTAAAGTCATTATATAAACAGGGGGTGCCTATGATCGAACTGCACTTGTAAATAAATTACAGGAAAAAACAAACACCATATAGAACCACTAACTTTCAGCCACAGACCAGAATGTTAGTTTTCAAGCCCAGAGCAGACATGACTTCTGCATGAATAAAGTCAGTATCCTCTGAATAACTATACTGCCTCATGTTTGTATTAAGGCAAAACTGACGTCACAGGCAAACTGTCCTACCAATTAAGAAGTATTCAAAAAGAATACTAGAGAAGCTGTGTCAGAAACAAACATGGCCAAATGTAGTACAAAGACTGTGACTGTGATCTGCTTTAATTTAAGGACATGTTTTGAGGTATGTGGTTGTGGCCTACTTGCTATGTAACTTTAGATAAGTCCTTGTGTAAAACGAGGTAAATAACTTATTAAGGGCCCATCACAGAGCCCACACAAAAGGTCCCCATCCCAGAAGGAAAGGCCTCCTGCATCCTACAGGAAATCTGATGGCCTCAGCTTTTCACAATAAATCTGCAGAAACAGCTGCCCAGAAACAGCAATGCTTCTGCAGGGGGGTGGAGTAGGTTGAGGTAACACAAAACATAGAGTTTGTGACCTTTACCTGATTTCAAATTAGTGTCAGCACAAACGGACATATGATGTGAGCCTTTTACTGACTTTATATCAGATGATATAGTTCCATCATCCTTATTGTCAAACTTTTGCTCATCATATGTTTTTCTCTGCAGGAAAGATGAAAAAATAACACAAATTAGGAAAATATAGTTGATCCTTGAATGAGGAGGCTCAGGGTACCCCCTCACTCCAGTAGCAGGTAACTTTCATATAACTTCCGATCCTGCAACACTTAATTAATAGACTACTATTGACCAGAAGTCTTACCAACGATATGTCAATTAACACATATTTTGTATGTTATGTATATGTTATATACTATATTCTTACAATAAAGTGAGCTAGAGAAAAAAAAGTTAAGAAAATAACAAGGTTTACATGTTTTTTTAATAGTCACAAATCTAAAAATTTTCCAATATATTTATTTTTTAAAAATCCACATATAAGTGGATGCAGTGGTGCATTTCAATCTCATGTTGTTCAAGAGTCAATTATACCACTACAAAGTAAGTTTAAAATTGCAAATACATAAGTACAGTCATACCTTGGTACTCGTTGGCCTCAGAATTCATCAAACCCTGTACTCATAGCATTTTGGTAAGAAAAAAAATGTTTCAGCACTCAGCTCTTGCTTGGGACTTGTTGCACTTGCTAGAACTTGTATGAGTCATGACATTGCCCCACAAGAGAAAAGAGTACATCATTCAGCACTTGTCACAAGTTCCAGAATGAATTAACAATGATTACCAAGGTACTACTGTATTCACAACTCATTTTTAAAAAGTTTAGACCAAATCAATTCCTACATACCACAATAAAGATGAGTAATACTTAAGTTGATGCAAGAATTGACCAATTCTTTACATTTTAAATGCTAATGTGAACAACAATACCACAGCACTTACTGACCTTAAACAGGGCTTTTGTGTCTTGTGGGAGAGCGCTCATGTGCTCATACCGGGGCTTCACCCTCTGAAAACCTTGGTAACGACTGGGTTGACTGTAATCATACTGGGAGCCAGGCACGGGGCAAACATTCTGTGTAGACTCCAGGTTGTAAGGAGAACAGGTGTACGGATGAAGAGCCATCTCAGATGATAAATACTGATGTGGAAATGTCGAAGCTCCAAAAGCCATATCTTTAGGATGGAGTCTCTGCCTAAACAGAAATGGTAAATTTAGTTACAGATTTCATATCACAAACCAGAGCTTTAATATTTTGCAATAAAATAAGTTAAACTTTTATTACCTTTGAGGTCATTCATTCTATATTGAAATAACTTTTTCTTTTTAAAAATTTTATTCATTTATTTTAGAGAAGGGAAGGGAGGGAGAAAAAGAGGGAGAGAAACATCAATGTGTGGTTGCATTTCCCACACCCCCTACTGGGGACCTGGCCTACAAACCAGGCATGTGTCCTACACTGGGAATCAAACCAGCAACCCTTCAGTTTGCAGGCCAGTGCTCAATCCACTGAGCTACACCAGTCAGGGCATGAAATAACACTAATTAAAAGCCAAATAAAACCTCTGAGACTTTCTTAACCTGCAAAGACAAATGCTGACCAAGTTATTTTTTACTACTAGGCTGGAACATCCTTGACAGGACCCTACTATGATGAGCATCAGGAGAGCCCAAGGATGCCCCAGCAGCTTTTCACTCTCAAGATGTCCAATATTTGCAAAAGCCTCTCTCTCACCAACCTTGGCCAAAGGAGCCATTGAGACCATTTTTCTACAGAGGACGCCACCACCCAAATCCAGCCTCCATCCTGACAACCTGCAAGGCCTGCCTCCCAGGGCCTCAGGTGCCCAGGGACATCCTGCTGCAGCCCTTTCCCTGTGTCAAACCCACCACCGCATCCTGTGTTCTGCTGACTTGCAGGGTCAGAGCTGCAAAAGGGGATGCTTCAGGCATGGTGGCCCAGGAATTACACTCTCTTCTGGCCAGATGGACACCATCTGTGAACACTGCCATTGCTCCAATTTGTTTGAGATGCTAGGTTAAACCAAAATACAATGTAACACTGATTTTTGGGCAAATCTGGTACACAGCCAGAGGACTCAACCCTTTTGCAACGAAAGCCGATACACTGACAAAATGCTAAAGAGTTAAAACACAAACCACAACCTTTTCATTCCCACAAAAGAGCACTATATGTTTGTGAGTTTCTAGAACTGAAAATTTTCTCGCATCGAATTGGAAATCCCAGTGTGCTGGTCCACTTTAAGGCAGGAAAATCCAAAGCTAATAAATAATAGGACATCCTACCTGATGTCCCAAATGTGCAACCAACAGGAGATATGGGCCCAGGCACCAGCACTCCTATTAGAAGTCCTATTTCTCCTCTGCTGCAAGTAAAAGCCTCAATGGAAGGAGAAAGGGAGTCACTGTGACCAAGGTGGACCTAGAAGATGCCCATGAGGATGGTCATTGTTCTCTCTTCCATGCAGTACCTAAACACAGACTGCTTGTTATCCATGCCTCTTAACTCATGACATTCTACAGGTTTAGATCTTGTAACATCTTTTACTTTTCAGCAATTTATTCTGGTAATGAAGTATTCCTAATTAAAAACCAAACAAAACCCCTTTATTAAACTTTTTCTGCTCCATACACCACCTGGCTAAGGCTGCTCTTTGAAGAGAAGACAGAGCCTCCAAGCTGCATCCTTCTCCCCAAATGCTAACCCTAGATGTGACTCCTCATTTTATTGATTTGATGCTCAAAAAATCCAATGAGGGGGTCAGATGAAGGTGAGAGGAATATGTCCTTCACAAGATGGGCAAAGGTGATGGGTTGATAGAAAAAAAGAAAGACTGTCCCAAGTCCAAAAACTGGATAAATGAACAGACTAATAAAATTTAGGTAAAGAAGAAAAAGGGGGCGCATCCAATGGTGGTTTTTTAAATTTATTTTTATTAATTCATTTTTTAGAGAGGAAGGAAGGAGGGGAGAGGGAAGGAGAGAGAAGGGTTTGGGACGGGATAGGGAGAGGGATACAGAAAGGGAGAAAGACACATTGATTTATTGTTCCATTTATTTATGCATTCTTTGGTTGCTTCTTGTATGTGTCCTGACAGAGGATCTAAGCTGCAACCTTGGCACACTGGGACAATATCCTAACCAAACAAGCTATCCAGCCAGGGCCCTAGTGGTGGTTTTGAAGACTGCTGTCATCCAGAAAATTTTCACCCATGAGTTAGCAGACTTTAGCTTGGGTCCTGTCTCTACCACAACCTAGTTTTCCACTTTGGACGTGTCATCACTGGTCCTTCTTTCTCTGAAAAGTTGGTATTTTTTTCTCCCCATCCAAGGCAAATACAATTATATGCAGAGAACAACTCTTCAAATGGCTTATCTGTAAAATTCCAGTTGCCATAAACTGCCCAGATGACCCTTAACCACAGTAACACTATCTCCTTTATGTCCACTGTCTCCTCCTGCACTCCCCCTTCATAGAAGCAGCTCATCTCTGCCATGCATTTGTGCAATACCTGCTGATCCCTCTGCTCCTCTTCTCCTTGCCCCATCCCTACAATGATCCCAAGTCTCTAGGACTTCCTTCCCGGCATGCTGTCACCTTTTATGTATGGTGCTGGACAGACCTGGCCCTTCTAATCACACCATTAGAAAAGTTCCTCTGGCCTGGACTTGCAAGCTCTGCCCTCTCTCTTTTTGCTCTCGCCCACCTCTGAAAGCCTCCTCTTTGGCATGGTTTCCTCTGTACTATCTCGCCTGTCAGACTCATTGAGTCCAAGCCTCTCACTGTTCCACTCAGGACTTCACATATATATCAATACTTGCAATCAAGTACCTTCATCACCTCCAGCCCTCTAACTCCAACCTATGCATCACTTCCACTTAATTGATCACTTCCCCCTAATCTGGCACATATAAATAAAAAATTTAACATCTGGTCTCCAGACTAGTCCTGCTTCCAACTTGTGTTCTCATAAGCAATTCCATGATTCTTCCCATTAACTGAAAATTACTATATACCTTTCCCACCAACACCCATATGGATAACCACAGAACCCTTTTTCTCTTACAACACATCTCAATGTGTTTTCTTGTTCCCAGTGCCTGGAACCCAGTCAAAGCCTTCAAGCTCCTCTCCCTTAAAGTCAAACCAGAATCCAGGAGTGGACCCAAAAGCTCCCTATTTCGTACCTAGCAAACCTAAACTTTCAGCTGTACTATAGGCTTGTAATCGCCAACGGCACCCACTTAAAAATGGGAACATTATCCTCTCCTGAGGTCTTTCACCACATCTTTCACCTGGTCCCTTTGGTCAGGCCAACAGCTGTCGGGGATCCAGGCACTCCTCCATCCACCCAAACGATCTGAGCCACACTGACAGCACAGCTAGTTCTCAAAGCTGAGAGGTTTTAACTTAAAACCATCCATTTGTGCACTGCAACATTTCTCAGGATATTGCAAGATGCTGAAAATGCTCAACAAACTCTTGCCAACAACAGCAGCTATGGGGAATACAACTGAACTCAGATTAAAATGGAATGCTAATTCTGATTCTGGTGTGACCTATCTGAGTAACTTTGGTCAAGCAATGCTATCCTGTTTCTCATGTGTCGAAATAACACTACACCTCCCTGTCAATGGCATGGATGTGGCAAGTATGAAAAGATATGAACATATATATATATATATATATATATATATATATATATATATATATACAAGAATACCAAAACAAAATGCAACAATGAGAGAACCTGTTTTGTTTGCATAGCCTCTATTTGTTCATTACACCAGTAAACAATCAGTACTTTCCAAATGGGCAAGTCTATATACCAGAATACTTCTACTGATATTTGTCTTGTCTATGACATAAATTTAGAGGAGATTGGTACATTCTCATTCATCTCCATTAGTTCAAGTCTATAAAAGATTGATCAAAACAGTAGAGCTTATGAGATAGTCTTTTCCCCTTAGCATCCAGCATTTTCTATACAGTAGCCTTTCCATAATTAACCCCAAATGAATAAACAAAGACTCTCTGAGTGCACTGTTAGAGGCACTGGAGGTAGACAATGCTGTAAAAGGTTACTCCCCCTTTTTAAGGAGACATACAGAATCAGGCTGTAATTGGAACTAATAGGAAAGAGGAAATACGTTTGTCATGGAAAAGGCTACTCCTTTTCTTCATGGCAGCAAGAGACCTCCGTTTGAACAAAATTTGAGTATAGCATTGCATTTCTTAACCTACATAAGAACTGACTAGATAATCTGCTCTCTACTAGGTAAAGTCTCCCCATTTCCTTCCCACTTTAGAGGCTCTTGTTCTTTCTAACCTTTCCTCTTTAATGTCTGGCCTCCTCTGTCCCTGACTGCTTTTTGTCAGTCAGGAATATTGTCAGCCAATATTTTCCTTGGTTATAAACAATTAAAAATCAAAATCAGCCCTGGCTGGTATGGCTCGGTTGGTTGGAGCATCAACCCACATACCAAAAGGTTGCTGGTTCGATTCCCAGGCACGGCATATATCTAGGTTGCAAGTTCAAACCCTAGTTGGGGCACGTAGGAGAGGCAAGCAATCAATGTTTCTCTCTCACATCAATGTTTCTAATTCTCCCTTCCCCTCTCTCTGGAAATCAATGCCCCCGTCCTTGAATGAGAATTTAAAAAAAAAAAAAATATCAAAGCAAAAAAGGATAAGGAATTAAGAAACATAATTTTTAAGTTCACACTGCACATCCTTGAGCCTTGAGTCACAGTTCATGTTACAGAAGGATGTTGCTTTAACTATACAAATGTTTTCCACCTTTATTTTGAGTTCCTAGAATCCCACCCAGTAGATGGCTTAGAGACCTTATCACTGAGCTGTATTTTGTATTTTATTATGTGAACCACCCAAGGTAGGGAACAACTCAGGAGACCCCTGCCAACATCCCTTTTACAAAAGATGAAATTACACTGAAAAATCTGAGTATTCCTACCAAAGACCTTTAGCATATACAGGTAGGTCTTCAACTTTTGTCAAAAAATACATCTTTCGATAATTTCCTAAATATACCAGCCAACTCAAATGACTGTTGTCATTCCAATTCTCATTCTTGTGTATATAATTCTAGAATTTACATGAAGTATAAACAGTTTTCAATAACACCATGTAGGTGTGGAATAAAAAGGAAAAAGGAAACAAGTTTGATGCATTATCAAAAAAAAGTAAAGATTTCTTACATAGCAAAAAGGTGATCCGTACCTTAAAAATAAATCTACAAATAATCTGCACAATTATGTGAAAACTTTAACACTTATTTTTCTAAATTCAGCGAACAATGGAAACCATTCTGTAAATACCTTAAGAATGTATTATGAGATAGAAAAAAATTTAAAGAACATAAGCCCTCTTTCAACTCAAATTTAGAAGAATTTATAACCAGAATTTGTAGAAGCCATCTCCATAAGACACATATAAAAAAACAAAATGATTTAAAGCAAAACCAGGCAAATTATGAAGAATTATCCACACAAAGAGGCAGCCATGGTTGTTAGTCCCCATTCCTTCCCCAGCAAGATTTTTAAATGTCAAACCCTAAAACTGAAAAGCATGCTTATTTATTTGGGTTTTTCTCTACCCCATTTCCTCTCCTCTTCTCCTGCCATTTATTCTGCTGTCATATATATATGACATAGTTTTAAACTGTATGCACAAATGAACTCTTAAACTGCATTTCCTACAAATAAATGCAATGAAGTCTACACACTTTCTTTACCCAAAATACCTGAGTATAAAGAAAGAAAAGGAGAGCTGATGCTTCAGTTTCTGCAGCAGGCTACACTTACGTTGTGCTACCGGCTCAGACTATTCTTGGCTAAGGAGCATCTTCTCTAGATGCTCCGAGAATTTTAATGTGCGAGCCAGCATATCATAAAGTCTAATCACTATTAAAGCTAAGAAGCAAAGTTCTCAGGTAAGGCAAGGCGTTTATAAAAATACATACTCAGGCAATGGTAGTTCCTGAACACAAGGATAGTACGTGGCTGCACAGCTAGGGAACACATGTGCTTCTGTCGTCTCTAACCATGCCACCCTGAGCCCAGCAAATTTGGGAACAAACGGTTTGACATCTGCTGACAACTTGATGCCCTGAGGAAAAAAAGGAGGTTTCAGCTACATACATTATGAGATCAACCAAACATAAACAAACAAAAACCCAGAGTGGCTCCATTCTGGCATCCCCCAGATATGCTAATCCCAGTTCTGTTGTTCAAGTACCTCTGCCTAGTAAAGACGAACATTTGCCAACGATTTCTCCCCGAATGCTTTTTTTTTAAACTAGAAAAATTTGCCCACCAAATGTTTAAGTGAAAAATAAGAACACCAATTACACTCGAAGTAAAATTCAACCCAGATTATATAGTTAGGACAACTGACGTTTCCTTAGCTTTAACTGGGAATAAGGGTATTTCATCTCTCTCAGCTGTAGTTAGGGATAAGCCAGCACCGTAGCATTGTGGGTAATCAAAAATAACCTGCAGCTCCCAAAACACACGTTAAAGTTTATTTCCATTGACTATCTCAAAAAGTTACACAAACCATTTTCTTTTTACTCAGAGAATCATTGAGAGTTGCTTTGTTAAAAAGCAAGTTTTGCTAGAAAAACTATCGCCACAAGCCCTTGGAATATGAAAGTAAAAAATCAGATTTTGGTTCTTAGACGCGTGTTAAGAGATTTACTTTCACTGACAATTCTTAAGCACGATGTTTGACTCGCTTGAAAGCCAATCCATACGATTGCCTGGGCTCCATCTAGTGGTTATGCTGCGCGCGTCGAGCAGAGATTCCCGCCTCAAAAAACGCTTGAGCTTTAGCTACTTTAACAAGCCACTCCTGGCCACGAATGCGGGGAGCCAGCGCGGCGGAGCAGCCTCTGCGCGGTCAACTGGGCTGTGTTCCGTCGACGGCGTTCTTCCTCACACCGCTCAGCAGTGAGCTATGTGGACGCCGGGGTTGGGGAACCGGCCGCCCGTCCCTGCGTCCCGCGCCGCCCCAGCCCCGTCCGCGTTCGTCGCTTTTCGGGTACGCCCGGAGCCGCGGTCCTCACCTCACCCGCGGGCTGCCGTGGCCCCTCTGACGCCATAGCCCGCGGACCTGAGGCCACCCGGCCTGGGAGGCCAGTAGCCGCCCCGTCGGCTGGCTGGACAAGCGCGGACCACTCTGCCTCACCACTATTCCACTTTCCGAGCGGACGCCAGGAAGTGCGTCACAGAAACGCGCCCCGACCCGCCCTGCTTCCGGTAGGAAGCGTACGCGGCGGCGGCGCACAACCTCGACCCCTAAATTGAGGTGTGCCGGGTTCTGGAGTACCTTAGTCTGCAAAGGCAGTTAGCTGCTCACGGGTTGAGTGGGCTAGACCCGAATGAGGAATCCATACGGGGGAGCGGGGCCTCGAGCAGGGCGGAGGTGTGGTAGGCTGAGGACTTAGAAGTGCATACCCGTTAAGTTCTACAGACCTAGGAACTTAAGGCACTTTGGAACCATAGAAAATTTCAAAATCGCCCAGTTTTCAACAATTAGCTATTAACAATTAGAAAGGGTGCTAGTAAAGGGAGATAGAGTAGTAGTCTGGTTTTTGCGGGTAGAACAATGCCATCCAGAAGGAAGGAGTTAAATAGGATGAGCCGGGTGCACGCGGTGAAGGAGGCTGCGGGGTGGAAACCAGGAGGAACTCCTTACTTGCACCCGAGCTAGGTGTAAGAATTAAATTTAAGGCTGCCACTAGGGTAGGTTATTTAACCCATAGGGATTGATTAGGTTCAAAATCCTAGGCTTCAGGTTAACTTTAGGAAACCTGTACCTTGTACCGAGAGGGACTGAGTGACTACCAACTACATTTCAAGCAGGAAAAATGCAGACAGGTGTCTGTCTGTGCCGGTCCCACTGGTTAAACATACATACCTGAGCACACCCGAACCTCCAGACCTTGGAGAGATACAGGATATGGCGGCAGTAATCAGTGCTGGAGGTGGGGAAAGGGATCGTCCCCTCTTACCTCTCAGGATTCTTTGGTCTACCTTTTAAGTGCAATGAAGTTTACCTAGCAATTCTGGCATGTTTAATTGCTAACTCTACACCTCCAACTGATGAGTCTCTGGAGGCAACTGATGGGGTTCCTGAAGGTGGGAGCAAGTTGTAGGTTGCTTCAGTCTTTACTGTACTCGTGTAAAAGCACCCCTTTCTAAAGGGGGACGCTAAAGGACCACCAAACCACGATCTTATGTTTACCTTTAGCTTATTTAAAAGGACTCTCCAGCATACCAATGAAGATAGACTGCAGCTAAAAAGGTAAATTTACAGACTCAAAATACCTTTGGCATGAAGGGGTTTTTACGGTGCTTTCAAACTTTAAAAATATTCTGTGATAGTTTATAGGAAACATCTCCACCTGGCAAATGAAGAAAGGGGGAAACGAGTTTAAGTGGTTTCTCCCAAGGCCAATAGATGCAGTTCTTAGGTAAGTGGAAGCAGCCCAAAGTATCCAGTTGGGCTCCATACTGTTTTAATGGAGATTCTAGACAATTCGCTATAATGAATTCATCCCTGGTTCTTGGTTTCTTCATAAGTAAATAATAACCTCATCACACCAAGCTATTTTGAATCCCTTTAATCATTTCCTCAGGACTAAAATCATCCAACTGAAATCCAACAACCTCTACTCATGAATTAACTTTAAAATAAACTTCAATGACTTCACACAGTGATAAATGCAACATACAAACTTTATTAACAAGTTAACAGGTAAAGTCAAACAAGCACTTACATTAAGAGAAAAAGTAACTAGAAGAAATTTTAAACACCTTAAAGTAACCTACTTGTAGTTGCATTTAACTGAGCTCTGTTGCTGTGAAGAATACAGCTCATGCACAGGTATGGATGAATGATTTGTACATTTTTCAAGTATTCACTGAATACTACCTTATATACACATATACATTAAATTTGAAAAAGATTTAATTGACGATCTCCAGATATACTTCATTTTTGTTGGTCTTTTGGAAGAGGTCGTCTAAAGAGAAGAATATGTGGTTCTGTGGAAAGAAAATGTTTTATATCATTTTAATATTACATGGTTAATTTTCACTCAAAATTCAAAGAATTCTCAATGAAACCAAAATAAAGTAAAATAAGCCTATTGTCAACTAATGTTACTTATTGAGGTATCGAAACTTTGCTTGAAAGTCACTGTCAACAGAAAACAGAAGAAAACCACCTGAGAATGAGTATTTCCCCAGTGTTTTAGTTTTACCCATCCTGGAAAAAAGGGATGGTAGGGTACAAAGTACAAAAACTACTTTGGGGAGAATGGTTTCTACCTTTAGAATCTCAATTCCAGCAAAAAATAAAGAGAAAAGTTATCTCTGTGGGGTAAAAACATCAACACCTCATTCAAAAACTACCAGCTTACAAAAATGCCAGTCCCAAGAATGCATCCCAGTAGATTACTTCATTATGCGGAGGTGGCCTAGGAATCTACAGTTAAGTCTCCCCAGTTGTTTTTGTATTATCTAGAGAGACACTTCTTGAACTCTAATATGATTACGTGCCCCAATCCCAAGAAAACTGAGTCTTAAAAGAGTTTTTGATGCTGCTACTGCTGTTTTTCCTTAGCAGGAGTGGAAAACAAGGTAGCTTTAGGCCCACCTAATGCAGCTTCTACAGAATGCCTTCAAACTTTGTTCAAAGCATTTTAAATTCTTGACATTGGATTTACTGATATAACCCATAAGTAGAACTTAACCCCACTGAGTTTTAGTTTACTGTTTAGTTAACCTGGAAAACTCTGGTAAAACTACTTAAGCACTCACAATGCGTAACACAGCACATTTGAATTCAGTGGCAATGTTATCTGTTTAATCTTACATACAGTTGATAACAATTATCCTTTAATAGAAGGTTAAAATACAAATCACTTCAAATTGCATACATTTCTGTATATAAAACTAAAAAAAATTTACCCTATTTATTTATAGACAGGAGAAGGGAGGGAGAAAGAGAGGGAAAGAAACATCAATATGAAAGAAGTCTTGCATGTGTCCAGATCTGGAGCGAGACCTGCACCCTAGGCATGTGCCCTGACCAGGAATCCAACTGATGACCTTCAACTTTGTGGGAGAACGCTGAACCAACTGAGCCACATACCAGTCAGGGCCTCTGTACATAAAACTTAAGGAAACTTAAGTTGTTTTAAAATAAGTTCTTCGTTTTCAAAGAAGGGATAACAGAATACTAAGTATATTTATGGTAAAATAAGATTATTAACAATGACAAATTTTTTTTAAAAATAGCAGCCTATGTTTTTACTTTTTTTTGCAGGGGAGAAAAATACACTATTTTCACTCATGTGGTATTTTACTTACTGTAAAACTGGAACCCTCTTTAAGAAGGAAAAGAATCTAGTAATTCAAAATTAGTCAAAATTGTCAGAGTTACTTTAGAATATCTCAATGTCAGCATTACTAAAAATTTTTCAACACCATAACTGCTACTATTCTAATTCAGTAATGTTTTCCCAAGCAGCAAAACTTACCTGGCTCATGAATCATGTAATGAACCCATCCTAGACTCTGTTGGACACCAAGTCTCCTCCACTCCTCTTCAGACATCAGATGGGTTTTCGGTACTTGTTTGGAAAGTTCTCTGGGTAACATGACATGCCTGTTGAACGACACAGCCAAGTATTAGTGTTCTGTGTGCAAACATGCCTTTTTCTACAATTATGATCACTTTACACATGCATCTTTAGGATACTTAAAATAAGGGATTTTTGCCTCAAAGTTCTTTAAAGCAACCACCATATTATGTCAGTTGGCATCAGTCTTGAGGACTACAATCTGTACTACCTTTAATTCTAATTTTTAATGGCCTAAATTCAAATTAGGTAAGGATATGCAGTCCAAAACCAGAAGGCATTCATTTTATTTAGGATTAACTTTTTTTTCATACTAGAGAGGGCTTGCTAGTTGTCTCAATCTTCTTCAGGAATAGGACCCTAAAAACTAATTTCAACACAGAATTACCCGAAAAACATCCATACTTCCCTGTGACTGTGTCTGGCCATGTGACTAAACCTGGGCCATGGGATATAAGCAGAAAATGAGTAATTTATGGAGTGTTTGCAGAAGGAAAGAGCATGCCCAATTCTTCTCTATATCTCTTTCCTGTTGATTATGAAGCATATTAACCTGACCAGGGAGCTAGAGAAGCCATATAAGACCACAGAAGCTACTGTAAATTGAGTATGGACCCTGATTGTAGAGCTGTCAATCCAGCCTCATGTAATTTTTACACAAGGAGAAAAAAAAGTCTCATTTTTTAAGTTAATTTGGGTTTCATTACTCAACACTAAATTTGTAGCAAATACAAATCCTCGTACACTCCAGAAGTTGCTTTACACTTTGTTCAGAATAAAAAGTAAAAAAAAAACCCCAATCACATATACATATATCTTGCAACCTTCAGTTTTCCAATAAGTTAACAGACCTATACATGCAAGACTTATTTTTTAGGAAGGCATGCAATATTCTTCAATGTCAAGAACACAAATTGTAACTTTGTTAAATGCTTAAACACAAATCTGCACACCACCCCTTATTTAATTACAATAAAAAGATCTTCATGAAAATCAGCTTCTAGCACCATTGCCAATTATGAGTATTAGTTTTATACACAGTCATCCATAACCACCAAATTTTTTTACTAGTATAGGATATCTATTCCTGTGAATGAGTTGGCTGGAGATGAGAAAGGTGCAATCTGGTTACTTTCCGGCACATAGGAAAAGTAAACCCATAACCCATCATAAAACTAAGGTGCTCTCAACCTAGTCTGTGGCTGGGTAGTTAAGTACCAATTTCATATTATTTGCAGAACAAAAGCAAGCCTTTGAACAAACTTATTATGTAGCTACTTTGCCACAAGGTCTAGTCAAATTAAGCTTACTCTCATAGTTAGTTAAAATTTCACCAATTCCCATGAACTACATGGTGATTCTTAGCAATACTTTATCAGCTATCCCATTTAATCTTGAAATGCTGCTTTAACATCTAATATTAAGGTTCTGCAAATAACCTGTTATCTTATTTCTATCACACTGTGAGAAATCTTTATGTGTACCTACATAATGTACCAACATGTTTTGATATAAGTCACAACCTCTACCTTCTCCAGAAACCATGAAAACAGGCTCACCATTGAGGTGTGATTATAAAGGAAAAATGTCTACGTTGCTTCAAACTCACACAGAAATTCTACCTGTATTTCATTGCACAGAGATAGTTTCTAACTATGTGGAAGAACAATTATTTCTGAAACTCAGTATTTATTTCAATACTATGGGCTTTCATGGAGGGAAGAAGGCAAAGACAAATATAAACAACAAAGGAGCTGTAAGATGCAATCAATTAGGAGGGCCAAACAGAAGCTGTGCAAAGGATTTTTAAAATACTAATTTACAGCTTTGATAAATTTAAAACCATACTTGTTCCAGATGTTATTTAACAGAACTAAGTCTTTAAGACCATTTATAAAAGAACCTAAGTGTAGTAAAAGGAATAGAAAATTAAGTTTGCATTTACAAAAGAAAAACCAAAGATGTCGATAACTGCATACTAGCAAAAATAAAACTTTTGAAATTCACACTGCATGCTGCATCACCATGTACAAATTGCCCAAGAATCACACCTCACTGATTTTATTATCAACTATCGATTTACCTTTAAAAGTAGCTCTGAAAGTTAATTGCTGTTCTGGTTCTACTGTAAAAAGGTAAGTGGCTTTATTAGGAAAGACCATCATCTTTAATAATGGGTTAGAAATATATCACTTCAAATATGACAGGGTTTTCTTCTATACATGAATACACAGAAACTACTAAGTAAATTCGGCTGAAATTTCATAGCACACTCTACTTATCTAGTGCTCATCAATGACTGTTGGTTTATTAAAACTAAAAAATTAAACTACTACCAGAAAACTTGAATAGTATCTTAATTTACGTGAAGCCACACGTGTTTCAGAATTAATATTTTTTCCAGGTTTTAGAAAGGTAATACAGTCTACATTCTGTCCATTAATATCTATCCCTAGCTAGGCTCTTGGTCGACATCTCGTAATTGAACATTATTCCAACATATTACAGCATTCAGGCTGTGTAGTTTGTAGTTACCGTTTTTTGTTTTTTTTTAAATACTTTAAATTTCTATCCAGAAAAACAAGCTTTTTCTGACTGGAATATAAAACAATGCATGTAATACTAATCTCTACAGCCCTGTTTTTCTTGTGAGATTTCCAAAACACTAAAAAAAGAGACACACACACAGAGACACACACCAAACGCAGTATTATTTCTTCCTCAAATAACATTCTTAGAAATCTAACTTCAAGGGACAGCAGACAAGAAAACAAGGTCGCTACTTGGATCCAGAAAGCAGTTTCCTAGTCACTACCCAGCAGGATGGCCAGGGTCAAACCGGGCTTCGAAGCCACGCCCCAAGTAGGTCTGCAGACAATAAGACCAATAAATGACGTGTTTCTTCCCTCCCACAATTCAAGTTGCTTAATTTTACAGGTTAATTTCAGTAACTATGTTCTAGAGAATCACATCGCGACTCAAGAGGCCAAAAATTCCTCAAAGCGATTATTACTTGGTCAATACATACTAGCAGGGGGTAAAAAAAAAGGCCCAAATCCAAGAAAGTTCTCAATTTAGTCTGAAAAGGAACCCCCTCTAATAATGCCCTTGGTCATCACGGTTAATTCACAAAAGGCTACGTAGGTCACCCAAAAAACATTTTTCAAATCCCAATCGGCATGCCAAGTTTCCAGGTTTACCCCTCTAGGTCATTTTTAGTATCACTAACTTCGAAAGCCAAAAAAAAAAGGGGGGGGGTTCTCAATGTTAACAAACTAAAATTACCCTTCCACCCTCCGCCTGGCAATAACTGCAAAAATGCTAACTACTACGCGATCCTCAAGAACCGTGGCACCAATGAAGTAGGCGGGTTCTCGCTGCTGGCTGTCGGCCACTGCCCAACTCAGAGGGTCCACCCGGCTGTGCCTCAGAACCCGGGTTTGCTGCTGCCCTTCCGCCCGTTTCCTTTAAGGCAGCAACTCAGAAGCGGCCCCCTTCCCGCAACTCCCTCAACCTTCTTACAAACCGAACAAAGAGCGGAGGCCGGGCCGACCCACCGAGGCGAGGAGAGGGGAACATTCCAGCCCTGACGCGTTTCTTCCACGACGGCCTCGACCCCCACAGGGCCCCTACTCCAACTAACCGCGGACCACCTGACCTGACTTCCGGCCCCACCCGAGCCCAGGCCGCCGAGCTGAGGGAGCCCGCCTGCAGGCCGCTCACCGGTACTCGTAGTGCTCGTCGAAGTATTTGTCTGAGTAGTAGATCTGTTTGTGGGCCATCCTCCCAAAAAGTGAGCAGCGCAAAGCGGGAGCGATGGAGCAGAAAGAATGGGCGCGACGCAGTGCACCAACCGTCCGGCTCAGATCGAGGTAACGACCTAACTGCGACTAACTGACTGCAGGCCGAACGATCTCGGTTTGAATCCGACAGCCCACCGCTGATTGGAGGAAGATATCGACCAATCATATTTTGCGCAAACTGCGGGAAGGCGGGGACGGCTTCCAACCTATCGTCAGCGCTTTTCCGTGTTATTCACTCCCAAGATCAGCCACTCAGAGGCCTGTTGCGAGGTTGCCGGAGGGAAGAAGTAGATGATTGGCATGGCGTGGAGGCGGAGACCTTCCAGACGTAGGAAGCGTGACTTGGAAGGGCGGAATCGAAACGTTAAGGGTCGCAGAGCGCGTGCGTAGGGGTTTGGAACGTTCCAGGTCTGCAGAACCGTTAGGGGTACGAACCGGCGGGACGTGTGAGGTATCGCGGGGTTTGGCGAGACCAGGGCGGGCCGGCTTACTGGCTTGCGCAGAATTGGGGCGTCTGGCGTGTGGTAGGCGTCCCAGGGCTGTGGGAAGTAGGGAGAGGGAGGCGGCTACATGAGGCTGCGGAGAGTCCAGGTTTAGAAGGGTGAGGGGACGAGCCCTGTTTTGGAGAGTAGGGCCGCAGGGAAGCCGAGGTTGAGCCGCATGGAAGGTTTCAGAAGCCGATCAAGGTGCTGCGTGGACGGGGAGCCCGGGGCCGAGCCCCAAAGGCCTGACGTTAGGTAAAACGTATGATTTCACACCGTGCGGACGCTCGGATAACAACACTGTGGGTACGCATGTATATGCGTGTTTTCTAAATGGAAAAGTGTAAAAAGATTCCTTAAAAATAACACTATCAAATTAAAAGTGTTTTTTAAAAGTTCTTTTGGCTCTTAGTAGTGAACCCTAAATAAAATTGCTGGGGGAAAAAAATGCCGAGATGTATACTGGTTCTTTTTAGGTGACAATTAAAAGTGACCGTTTTTAGTATTTTTTACATTTCCCCAAATGAGCGTGTTATTTTCCTAGTAACCTAGCCTATATTCAGTGTTAGATGCTGCAGAGTGCTGATGAGAGAGCATAGATGGGCCCTGCAGCTTCCCAACACCAGATGGGCCTTTACTTTCAGGTTTATGAAAGGGCTTACTTATAACTTGTGCTCAGGAGGTCCCGCTTTCCCCATTCCTCTCCCTCCTTGCGTCCTTCGGATTTCCAGCCCCGCGCACCGGACTTTGCTTGGATTGCTTGGCATCACATATGCGCTGTTGCCTACTCTTCAAAAACCGGGGAAGAGGGCATGTATCTTTTGTTCACCACTCTGTACTCAGAACATAGCAGATTCCTTTGCACGTGAACACTAAATTTGAAGTTAAAGGTAATGTATGCCTAAATAATTAGGTGTGGTTATGTACTGTGAAGGTAAAGATGTAAATAAACCGTTAAAGGGAGATGATTAAGGAAATCACTAACTTATCGGTATAAGCTGGGAAAGAAAAGTTTCCTAAGAAATGTATTTTTACAGAGATGTATTGTGTAAAATTTCAAACACAGAGAAGTGGAATATTAAAATCAACTAAGGTGTACTGATTATTCAATTCAGCAATAAATATAGTGCCCTTCTTGTTTCATCTATTCCCATCTTTTTTGCTAGAATATATTTAAAGAGATCCCAAATATAAGGCAATTTTACTCTGAAATGATACTTTGTGTCTATCTCTGTCATTATGGTGTACATCTTAAGAAAATTTTAAAAAGTATGACACCTATTTTAGATTCTGATGACAGGTGCCTTTTTATGGTTGCTTCATTTGGATCCACATCGACACTTGGACACATTGAATTTGTTTTATGTTTCTTTTAGTCTTTAAACAAGGTCCCCTGACATCATCTTTTCACGTTCGGATTTGTAAGAGAAACAAAGTCATTTTCACCTGTGGGGCACTCCCCACCCTGGATTCAAGTGATTGTCTTGTGGTGTTATTTACTTTGTTTTTCCTGTAATCTGGTTTTTTGTTTTTTGAACTCTGTAGGGCATGCATGCCAACACTCCCCATGCACAGATCCCTGATGGTGGCAGAGGTGGGACAGGGAAAGTGAGGGGCAGACTAGGCCAGGAGGGGGACCAGAGGAATGAGATCCCAACTGGGAAACAGTGGGAGGCAGGGCTTCATGTAAACTGAGGCTCCCAACCCTCAGTGCAGGCTCTCTTGTCCCACCAGACTTCACTTGCAAAACATACATATAAAAATAAAATTAGTAAGAATTACCAGACATAAAGGCAAAGCATTAAACCCAAGTGAAGGGTCCTGTGTGACTGACGTAGTTGCACATCATGAGTTGCAACCAACTCATTTTTTTAAAATACCATTCTTACATAAGAGAATAAGCTTTTCATAAAACCTGAAAGCTTGGTAAAACTCTTCAGAAGACTTAATTAGTGCTTCAGTTTAACAGATATAGGGCTCATCAGTCTTTTTCTCACTTATTGAGCCAGTACAGAAAGACAGTAAAGGGGAAATATGTGAAGGTAAAAAAAAAAAAAAAGACTTAAAACCCAACATCAAATGTCACATACTTAGAAGTTAACCTAACAAAAGATATACAAAGACATAAGCAATTTTAGGAATATTTGAGAGACATAAAGCACTTGAATAATTTCGTGTGGTAAAGATATAAATTCTTTTTAACTTGGTCATAGAGTCATTCTAATTTAAAAAAAACTTTCAAGGGACTTATTTAACTGACAAAAATGTATATGGAAGAGAACTAAGAATAGCACATACATTTCAATGGACTGACATCATAATTTGTTAAGAAACTAAAAATTAAGACAGTGTAGTAGTGGCTTATAAAAATTAAGATAACAGCACTGGATAGACAAACTGACTGAAATGTAATAGCCAGCTTCGTATACTGTTTGCTAAAGCTTTATAATTGTTGTAGATATCTTTTAGATGATTTTGAGGATGTACTCTTTCATTCCTGGTTTGCTAAATTTTTATCATATGTATATATTGTATGTCTTTGCATACTTTCCAAGTTTTTATTTTTTACATTTAATTAAATTTTTTTAGAATTAATATAAGTTGTAAATACTATAAAGTATATTAATAACTGCAGTCTTAAGAATGAGTGGAATGGCAGTATTAGTGAAAAATAAATAGTTGAAATAAAAAATTCAACAGCTATGCCCTGGCTGGTGTGGTTCAGTGGATTGAGTGCCAGCCTGTGAACCAAAAGGTTGCTGATTTGATTCCCAGTGTAGGGCGCATTCCTTGTTGTGGGCCAGGTCCCCTATAGGGGGTGCGTGAGAGGCAACCATACATTGATGTTTCTCTCCCTCTATTTCTCTCTCCCTTTCCCTCTCTCTAAAAATAAAATCTTTAAAAAGAAAATTTCACAGCTAAACTGAAGGCATTATGGATACAAAGTAAGAACACATTAGTGAGCCAGAGGATAGGGTCGAGTAACAGTCCCAGAAAAACATCAGAAAGGGTAAATAGAAAGACTCAAGGAGGCTAGAAGTGACAGCTGTCATAACAATAGTCACAAATGGAAAGAAAACAATAGAGGAGATGAAATACTTGTACAAATAATGGTTGTGAATTCCTCATTTCAAGGAAAGATAAGACTACGGATTCAGCGGGGTTGTAGAGTGCTAATTGTATAGATAAGAAAAATATAACCATAGATTATAATGCAATTTAAGAATATCAAACACAAAGTTCTAAAAGCTTCCAGGGAGACATTGCAGATTACACCTACAAAGCAACAAGAACATTAAAAATGGCAATCTCCAAAGCAACTCTGGACTTGAGGAAAATAGGTTACTGTTCACAAAGGGTTGAAAGAAAGAGTAGAAATGAATTCAAGACCTTCACAATACTGTAAGGCCTCACCTGGCATCGCTGGTAAGTTCTTGCGAGACAGGCACCAGTAAGCTAGGACAAGTGGACCAGAGAAGCAGACATAGCTGAAAAAACTGGCTGAGCAATTTACAGCCAATACAGAAGGCTACTTCCCTGGAGCTAACATCTAAGCCTCAGTTGTATTTCAACTCCAGGCCCAGAAAAGCAATAAAACCAGGTGGGGGACACTAGGACCAGTTGCAATGACTAGGGACCCTTCGCCTGGCACTGACCAGTCAGTGGAGAACACAACCCTGAAAAAGCACACCGGGAAAACTGATGAATATTCTGCTGAAGGCCTCCCCTGAGATGTCCCCAAAGATTTCTTGCCTGCAAGAGAGAAGAGCCTAAAGACAAAGGGCTGTCTGTGGAGCAGCCCATGCTATTCCTTTCCCCCTCGTTCCCCCTATTCTTCCCTCACAGGCACGCGTCTCCTTAACTCTAAGGATCCCCAGGAGACTTGCAATCGGGAGCAATGGGCAGTAGCAGCTCAGCTTAGGCTAAGCCCTGAACCTGTCTCCAAGACCCCTTTTCCCCAAGACTTTCCAGTGAGTTAAGGCAGCCCAGCCTAGGCTCTTTACTGTTTCTTCTACGGTAGGGCCTTGTTTCACTGTCCCCAGCTTCAAAAACATACCCTTATAGACACCTAGACTCTTGAAGTTTTTCCTACACAATGCCAAGAACCCACATACTACCGGCTGGTCCTAGACAGACCCTGTCAGTGCCGGGTCCCCTATCCGGTAACACTCAGAAACTGTGACATTAAGTGAAACAATGTATAATGAAACCAATGTAACTACAGGCTAATTGACATAAACAAGAATTAAGTTCCTACAGCATATTTCTGGTCACAAAAACCACCAAACTTCTAAATAAAGACTGAAAAACACTTGAAATATTAAATACTGAAATAAATATGAGCTATACATACATTTAAGAAATGATTAGGAAAAGATCACTCTTTTCCAACTCAGTGCAGTCAGCGTTGTGGTTAGTATCCCAGCAGCTTAGTGCACAAGGTGGGACCTACCTTGGACAGTACACCCTTCCATTGCCGGGAGCACTCACACCCACACCACACTCAGACTGGGAACATCTAGAAACATCAGTTCACCTGATGTGAACTGCACATCTTTGAGATATGGGAGGAAACCAGTGCAAGCAATGGGGTGAATACGCAAAACTGACAGACAGTGACCCTGACCAGAAACAACATT